CATCTGTAATCATCAGACAAGCCCAGTACCGTAGCTCCTGGGCTCTGCTGCAGGCAAAACTACTTTTATTCTGATACCAGTAGTTTCACAGGCAGGACTTCAGTTTGGAGCTGGTTTGTAGTCCCATTCCAGTGAAATATATCAAGATGACATGAAGTACACTCTTACCCTGGAAACTTTTCCCCATCAGTGGTTATAAATATACCACACTATTGTGCTTGGCATGCTGTATGCTAATAGAGGTGAGGGCTCTGAAACTCATTAGGAAAGGGAGCGGGCTGCGGAGCAGAGTGAGGACAGTGTGAAGCTAAGGTTGATAACCATGGCCTTGTCCAGAATAGGCCATGGGAGTTTTCTTATCTCACTTTGGCAGGAGGTGCTGTTAGCTTCCTGTGCGAAATCAGGAGCATATGCTGCTTTCCTCTTGTTGTTTGGCTTCCTCCACTACACAAGACGGTTCCCAGCACTGTGATTATCTTTGCATCTTCAAACATGGCACACTCTGCTTCCTCACGGCTTGATGTATTCTTGAGCAGCAGGCTGGCTCCCCTCCCCCCGGCCACTTCTCCCGGCCCCTCTTGGTGCCAGCTGCACACATCACAGACATTTTTTAAAACCCAGATTGCTTCCGGTTGCATAAACCCCCTCTGTCCTCAGAGAGAAGGGCAAACTCCCTGATCTGCATGCACTGCATGGGTCTCTGGGCAGCCCTTAGAGCTCGTCTTGCTCCTGGCATCCCCCCCCCGAAACCTCCCCAGCCCCACTTTACCCATGCATGTTGGGAATGTACATGTGAGCATGCACACAGGCACATGTCAGAAACCACTTACCAGGACAACAGAACACTCAGAGCAGAACACGGAACAGAATTACCTTGATCTGAGCTTACACAATGTTTATAAGTGTACCTCTGTATGAGCACAGCATTAGCATTTCTTATATAAAGTCTCTCTATGTGCAGAGCTATATCCAGCTACAAAGCAGGAATGTGTAGAAGGAAAACAGGTGTAAGAGCTGCTCAGAAACATGCTGGCAGATATCGGCTTATCAGCCTTTGTGCACACTATGTGCTTTCTCATTAACCTCATGGTAACCCTGCTGCTAACTTTCCTGAAGATGCAAAGCAACGAAGCTTATCCCAGCAGCAAACCACGTCAGGAACATGGGGATATCTGGAGTAAGAGCTTCAAAGTTCACTGGGGTTTCCTTGCAAGTAACATGAGGTTTTGCTACAAGCAGGAAGCCCTTGCTGTTTTGTTGAGTCAATAGTTCAGTGTAACTTATAATTTCTTTACAAGACATAAAGATGCATAGCTGATTTGTGTGACAACGCACAACATGAAAATCAACTGAATTAACAGGAAGGTAATATCTATATTTTGGTCCTGGCCAGAGTGCAATTTTATCTTTTCCCTCTTGCTTCCTCTTTCCAAGCATCTGTACTGAATACGAACATTTGATTTGATGACCACATCTGAGTTCACAGAGCCTTTTCCCTCTCAGTTACAAATGCCTGTTGTTGGGAGATGACACAGGGTTCCTCATTGCTCCCATTTACCCCAGACCCATTTCTGCCCACTGATCTCAAGCAGTGCTTCGTATGGCACCGCTGGCAGCAGGGAGAGGAAGGATGGCAGAGTAATAACCCATGGAACCTGTGCGGGAGCCTGCAGCCATGCTAGTGCATCTGAGGTTACAGTGAGAGCATTTGGCAGCTGAGGAGTGAAAGCATCTGTTTCTGCATCCAGAGGAATGAGGCTGAATTTTGTTCCAGGCTCTGCCTGGCAGCCGTGCTGCAGCTGATTTGCAGAGGCGTGCTGAGCCAGCAGAGCGTGGGGTGAAGTGGCAGAACGCAGAGCATCTCCTGCTGTATGCCGTGTGCTGCCAGGTAATGTGCTCACAGCTGGATTCCAACTCCTTCTTTATTAAATCTGAGGACAACTGCTATTAAGTGCATTTGATTTTCTGCTGTAATTGTGTTAACGTCGCAGTCAGCAGGTAATGTGGTATGTGAAGGCGATTGAGCTCATGTATGTGCCTCCAGGGCTAATATTTCTAGTGTTTTACACGTGTGTTTTTCTTGTAATTGTAATGTTATTGTAATTATAGTGGTGGTTTGTACTACAGTATTAATGAGTAATCAGCACCCCATTGTGCTAGGTGTTGGCAAAGGCATTACACTGCCCTCATCCCTCAGATTCTGCAACCTAAATACATATGTGCAGTCCTTCTCAAGGAAGTATATAGTAATAACTAAGCTTATGGATGTAGAGCTGCAAGAAAATAGATTGGAAATGCCTTTTGGAGATACATATGCAGTTTCTGAGCATGCATTACACCTTCTTTCTGTTGTTTACTGAAAAGGGACTCAATGAGGACTTTTATTCTAAAAAGCACAACTTCTCAATATTATAACAAAGAGGCAAGTTAATTCTCTGAAGGAACAAACCAATTCCACTTGTTTCAGAGGAATAACATTTTTTTAAAGGAGTTAGGATCAGGTGAGTAAGAAGGAAATGAAATGGATCTCTGCCTGTACAGGGAGTGCCCAATCACAAGGAGGTGCCCTTGATACTGCCTCTTTGTGTCTTTGTCGTGCTGGCATTATGAGAGAACAGAGTTGTAGAATCATTTGAGTTGGAAGGGACCTTTAAAGGTCATTCAGCCCAAACTCCCCTGCAATGAACAGGGACAGCTACAGCTAGACATCTGACACCTGCTATGGCATGGAACTTTATTGGCTAATACTACCAATACCACCTGTGTTCAAGTCTTGTTATAAAAACAGACTTCTTAAAGTGTTAAATGTGCAAAGTAAATGGCAACTACTTTTCTGAGTAAATGCCAAGTTTTTTTGTGTTTTTTTTTTGGTTTTTTTTTTCTCGTTTGAATACATCGGCTGTCCTAATGCAGCTCTCTTCCATCCACCCTGTCCTCAACAACCATGTATTAGGAGTTGGCCTTCAAACCAAAGCCTGAAGAAGTGGCTGTATAGCTCGGGCTTCCTTCCCATGCTATTGCTCCTTGTTCTCTCTCCATGCATGGATGACCATGACCTGCTCCTGGTTTTTGGCTTTTTTAGCTCATTGAGACTCTCAATGCATGTTAAGGAATTTGGGCACACTATCATATATTTGTGCTAATGATTACATTCTAAGTTAGTTTACATGTCATTTTTTCTTTAAGCTGCAGTATCTGCTTAGACAGTGGTCGCTTTGACTCAACGCTGCACGATTAAAGACAGTGTGTAAAGTCTTTGTCTTACTGATACTGTAAACAGCACAAAAGTTCAACCAAACTACACAGTTGACTGAAAGGAAATAAACCTCATTCTTTAGTCAGGATTGCATCAGTTGCTGTGATGCAGTCAGCAGCCTTTCACCACTGACACACATCGGAACTACTTGATTATGGATACTGTACTCGTTGTCTGTCATATGGAGGGAAATCCAGAGAAACACTGTTTGAGAGAGCTTGACCCTGATGGACAGTTTAACTCCTCTGTTGATGCTTGAGTTGAACAAGCAATATCTAAATGATGGATGAAAAGCAAAACTCAATATCCTCAAAGAATAGGGATGGACAGAATGTAAGAACCATTCCTGTGTGTTTGTTTATGTGTGTACTGAGTTAGGCTTTGGGAAACATGTTAGCTCTACCACAACCACACCTGATTGTTCTGATTATATGCCATTTCACTGCACAAAGAAAAAGAAAAAAAAAAAATCATAGAATCTTAGAATCGTGGAATGGCCTGGGTTGAAAAGGACCACAGTGATCACATAATTCCAACCTCCCTGCCATGTACAGGGTCACCAACCACTAGACCAGGCTGCCTAGAGCCACATCCAGCCTGGCCCTGCCTCCAGGGATGGGGCAGAAAACAAACAAAACTGAGAAAATACATTATTTTTCAGGATAATGATAAAAACCTACACAGGTTAAATCATAGAATCATGGAATGGCTTAGGTTGGAGAGGACCTTAAGATCATCTATTTCCAACTGCGTGCCACGTGTAGAGCTGCCAGCCACCAGATCAGGTTACACGTGTACCCATCCAACCTGGCCCTGAATGCCTCCAGGGCTGGGGCATCCACAGCTTCTCTGGGCAACCTGTGCCAATGCCTCACCACTTACTAAAAAATTTCTTCCTATCATCTAACCTAAATCCCCCCTCTTTTAGTTTCATTCCCCCTTGTCCTGTCACTATCAGACTGTGTAAAATGTTGGTTTACCTCCTGCTTGTAAGCTCCCTTCAAGTACTGGAAGGCCACAATAAGGTCTTGCCAGGGTTTTCTCTTCTCCAAGCTGAATAGCCCCAAGTCCCTCAACTCTTTATAGGAGAGGTGCTCCAGCCCTCTGATCTTCTTCATGTCCTCCTCCTGGACTCATTCCAACAGCTCTGCATCCTTCTTGAGCATGACACCCCAGGCTTGGACACGGTACCTCCAGATGGAACTTCACAAGGGCAGAGTAGAAGGAGACAATCCCTTCCCTTTTCCTTTTGTCCAGTCCTCCTTTGATGCAGCCCAAGATGTTGGCTTTTGGGCTGCAAGAGCACAAATGACAACCAATACATTATGGAATGGATCTTGAAACAGATACATGTTGTCTTAGGACTGAAAACAATATAAACTCAAGTTTGAAGACAAGCCTAAACCATGATAATGACTGACAAGTTAGGGGCATTGGAGTCCTAATTATAGGATTCACACAGTCCAGTAATTAGGCTGCAATTGCAAATTCTGACCTCTTGATCCACAGTGGATGAAATGTTAACACCGACTCCAAAAATTCAGTGTTCTGGGGGCAGCTGTGGAAATAAAGCCAATGATCTGGCTTTGAGCATCAAGACTTTGTAGTTGTCCTTACCTGCTGATCGCAGCACATGCAATTTCCTCAGATGATTTTTGTTCCTAGAAGAAAAGTTTTTGCTTGTGCATTCTGAGATTTATCAGTGAAATCTCTCCTTTTTTTTTTTTTTTTTTTTTGTCTTCAGACGTGGCTTTTGCTCTCACACTGATGGATCTTTCAACCTGAAAACTGGGAGCAACGTAGGAAACAGGATCCAGAGCATCATTGAGCGAACAGCCATCATAGAGGGCAAAAACAAGGTATGATTCCTAGGTGCAAATAATCTCTCTGTGTTAGCTGAAGCTGTTTTTTAAATGTTGTTGAGGTAACAGTGGGGAAGCCAGTATTTTTATGTTGTTCAGATCTGAAAACCTGTGTAGATGCAAATAATTCCCACATTTGCAAAGACAGAGGTTTGTTATCTATATGCTGAGATGCAGAGATGTACTTCCCTGCATGCAGTCCTATTAAGGTAAGTGGTGTAATTAAATATATATATTCAGCTTACTTAGAGCTGGCCTGCAGCATGCCGGGCACCTCAGGAGGAGAGAGGCAGGGCTTCAGGCCATCGTTGCTTCATTTCGTGCCATTTCACAATTTCCTGTTGTTTTTCCTATGAGAGTAAAACTATTTACTCTCATTTGAAAGTTTATTCACAGATGTGGTGCTGCGTTATTAGAAGACCAAGTCTTGCAATGAAAATTTTAAAGGAACAAATGAATCCAGATTACAGAAACAAAGTTTAAGAGAGATCTCATTCAGAGACTGCATGGTGGGTTGCACCCCATCTGCATTAACTGTCCATTGTTAGGTGTCAAGCCCAGGCCAAGCACAATGAGGCATTGGGAGGGACAGGCACTTCTGATGGAGGATTGAGATAGTCATGCTTTTGAGAGTTCATGAAGAATTCTCAATCAGCCAAAACCTTTAAATCAACATGTTTTCCTGGAGGATGCCCTAATCAGATGAACTTTTCTTGGCTAGGCATGATGCTGGTTTGATGTGGTTGGGCTGCCCTTGCCACAGAGGAGCTCAGGAGTTGGTGCACAACGCTGTGTCACTTTCACAGCCTCTGCTGTTCACCGATTGGCTTGGTCTGAGGCAGGAGCAGCTGATGAAATTATAAACCTGAAAGCCTACCCTATGCTAGAATTGTTATTTCCAAGGATACCGAAAAACTTTTCATAATTCTAGGGACACTGGGGATGTAGGTGTTCTTTCCTTTATGTCTTCTTTCAGTCTTTTGCATGTGAAAATGGATATAAATCATAATTAATCTCACACCAAGGCCCTTTCACACACCGTGGAATAAATAGGGCTTTGAACACAGCCAAGATTCGTGCTTGGGACTGAATTTTCTCCTGCTGTTGTATTATTAAGGCAGTACACAGGTGTTCATGGCACAGTTCCAGTGCACAGGAATATGCTGGATCCTAGTGAGGCATTTGCTCTATTTAGTTGGCACCCTCTATATGCTTAAAGATCAAGGCAAAGATGGGAGTAAATGGCTTCCTGGGGGATACTATTGTAGGAAAGCACATGAATACTGACACAGAAGGAGAGATTTGCAAGAGGAAAGGGAAATCATTTGTGGCATGGGAAGACAGAGCCTATTCCAAAGGGGGAATGATGAACAAAAACTCATGAGAACAAGTAATTTCCCAGAAGGGTTCTAGGTAGCTTCTGCTTACAGGATCTAACAACCAGACCTCATTCTCCTTGTGTGCTGCGTGTTTTGAAGACAGCAGAAGAGGAGTGGCTGAAATGTCAGACCAGCTTCCAGTCAACAGCAAATAAATTCCTCCCTGGAGGAAGATGCTAATAATGGGTCCTTGTGGCAGAGCTGCAGGTTTTGTTTGAAGTCTTTGGCAAGCGGTCCCAATTTTTTTTATATCTGTCCAGAAATGAATGAAGAGATGATATCTGCATGTGTTACGTGGAAAGTTTTACAGCGAAACATAGCAGTTCTCCTTATTTTTCCTCATCTTATTCTGTTTAGTTCATCTAAGTAAGGCCCATCTTGCATTGCTTTATCCCTTCTGATCCCTGTGAGGAAAGGGAGGTTAGTGAAATAATCTCTTTTCCCAGATATTTCAAGCTTTCCTGGTTGCAGTGCTGTTCAGAAGAATGTAGCTTGCAGATAGAGGCTTCTGCCAGTCTTCTGGTTTGCATGACATCCTTGCTAGAAATGTGCACATCATCTGAAGTTTTCAAATATTTAGCTTGAAGTGAATTCTCTCCACTTCTGAGAATTGCGTTTCAAAGGTTTCTTCATTTCTGTTGCTCCTCCATAGCTTTCCAGGCACAGCTGGACTGCTATTGTAAGTAGAAAATGCTCTCTAAGCCTGGGTTCCTGGCCAAAATAAGTTGCATGATTTGTGTGCACACAGCTGCTCTAGAGCATCCAGGATATTTTTCTTTCTCTGTGAGAGTCTATAGCTTTCACTCTTTGCAGGCCAAGATTCATTCTTGGTCTCCCAGAGCAAACTCAAAGGGACACAGTCCAGACAAAACCCTTCCTGATGGGCTGGAATATTGTAAAACTGTTAATAGCACTGTGCTCATTGAATCCAGCACGTCATCACAAGTGTCTGGCTCTGATGAAGTGTGACTGCAAGTAGTTCTGCTACTGCAAACTAAGCAAACTAAGCTAAGAACAGCTCTCCAAGGCACTTCCACATCAATGGAGTCCTGCTATCTAAACATTGTCTACCCCGCTTCCACATCCGAGCATAGCAAGCATGGTAAAAAAGTCTCAAACTCAATGGAAACAACAAAGTAGTAGGAGACAAAGCAGTAGGAAGTTGATGGGGAGACTCAAAAAATGGCACTTCTGGGTTAGCATGAAAGCAGAAATGGGGATGACCACAGGATATTATTGTGATCAAGGGAAGAGATGAATGAGGAATGCTCACAAGGTTTCTTTTAGCTCTTAAGGTAGCTGTTTTTGCCTTAGTCAAAGTCCTTGTACCAGTTCCTTTGTTTCCTGTATGTAAAACACCCAAGTCCCTCTGAAAGCTTGGCCTTTTGTGGTAGTAGGTTGATTGGTTGTTTTGTTTGTCTGCGGCTATCAAGGTAGCCACAAGTATATTTTTAAAGTTAGAAAAACCTCAAACCCTGTGTCTGTATGGTTAAAGTAATGCAGGAAGCCTGCCCTGAGCTTGTCTTCTGGTGACAGAGAGAAACCGTGACAACTGTGTTTTAGTAACATTTCCGTTGAAGCCTTTCTAAACAGACATTGAGAAACTCAAGTGGTATAATGGAAAAAGTTTATAACAGAAGTCATAATACTTAATCATAAAACAACTCTTGATTTGATTCCCCCACCCAAAGTTTTCATTCTCATTTTGTTGGACATTATCAGCGACTTCCTACAAAACTGAGCTATTCTTGGCTTGTAAGCAGATCACAGACTCTCTTTTGTCATTCAGCTACTAAAAACCATCACTTCTCAGTGTTCTTGATCAAAGTTTGCTCCTACCTGTAGCTCAGGGCTAGTACTGGTCATTATTATTCTTAGCATCTGTGGTTTGTAATAATACCAAGTGTAAATGACCTACAACAATGAGATACAAAGAGCTCAGGCACTCATTGATAACTCTGCCGTACATACATGCCCTCTCTGGGCAGGCATTGGGAAGACCACATATTGGTTTATCAAAAGCTTTGAAAGACAGAGGCAATACTCCTTGCACAGAGGGCTGTAGGAGGGACTGTACAAAGATCATGGGGATGCAGAGTGTACAGAAGAGGGCCAGAAAGGTGTGTACAGATGAATGAAAGTAGATGTTGGTCAAGAAGAAAGGATGAGAATATCAACAGAAGGAGATAGTAGATTGAAGGGCAAGTGTATGTAAACAATACTAATACATGAAATTGTGTTTTATCAGGCATATATTTATATGTATGGTCTTTTTTTCCACTGCATTAATACTTTACTGACCCACATTTTTAGTGGTCCAATCCTCTGTAAGTGAAAAAGCCACCTGACTTAAGGGAAAATGGAAAGTAATGACCCTGTAGGAAGGTTCTGTAAGATCAAAATTAGGCTCTTTCTTGTCCATCTTTAGTTTGGCTGACACTGATGGATCATCCACCCATATGCTGACTGTGGGTAGTTTCAGAAAGTGTGACAGTCCAACACAAAGGTGGGGGGAGTTCAATCCCTTTTGGACCTGATAAAAAACTGTGGCCGCGGAATATATGGACTAGTCCATCTCTCTAGCATCTTCTATGCCAAGCCCTAAGCCTCCATCTCCAATGTCTTCATCTTACAGATGAGACAAGAAAGCTTATACTGTGTCTGACTTGAGTCCCTGGATATTCCAGCTGACTGGCCAGCACATCCATGTGGGCTGGCTAACTGGCACACAATGAGCTGAATAGCTCATTGCAACAGCACTCATTTTGGTCTTCCTCATTTACAGACAGATGGTTTTCATGAAACACTCATGAAGTCTCATGAGTTTATCTGCCTATTTTGGCTGCAAATGGGACATTGCTGAGGATAAAGAACTTGCACAGAGATGGGCAAACAGTGTGAACTTCCTAGGAAGCCAGGCTAAGGATAGTGCTGGGAACACAGCCTGCCTCCCTTTCAGCACACTGTAACTTTTCTTGGGGCCTTCCTGAGTGCTACTAGAATTGCTGTCAACACTTTAAAAAAGAATTCTTAAAGGTGACAGCTGAGCCAAGAGCTTGGTGAGATGAAAACCAGGAGAACTCAGCCTCTGCTGAGCTCTGCTGAGCCTCTGCTGAGCTGCATCTCCCTGCTGAAACGCATCCCCTCCCTTGGTGCATAAGGAAGGCAGGAAGCACAATTTTACTCAACATAGGCCCTTAAAGGAGAGTAGGAGGTATCTGTGGATCTGTAGCCATCTGTATCATGATCTCCCTATGGGTCAGATGGAAGAACTGTCTCAGCCTGCCCAACAGTGCAATGTGATGCAGCGGGAAACTGAAGCTCTGCTGTTAAACGGCAGTGATTTACCTGTCTGACTCGAGGGGAAGAAAGTGCTTATCTGCACACGTTCATGTCCTGCTATTGTAGACATTTTAGTGTTTACTCTGTGGACGTAGTGGTGGTTCTGAAAGTGAAGCATGTATTCAGATGTTTTGCACTGATGCTTCTTTCCAGCACAAGGCACACAGATGATATGACTTTGTCATAAGCAGATGAAGCCAGTGGTGTCCTGCCAATATTTCAACATGTATCTTCCTAAGTATTATCCTTTTATCTAAAGATAAATCCAATGGGATAAGGAGAGCATATATGTAGGAAATAAACCTACTTTTTCAATAAATGTGTTTTAAAAGCATAACTAGAAGGGAATCAACAGTGTTTGTCAGACTTGCACTAACCTGCTCAATGCTGAAAGGATATTTTGTCTTTTAGGTGTATAAGCATTCAGAGAAGTTAGCAAAACAATCTCTGAATGGAGCATGTATATGCATGTGTCTGCAGAGGCCTTCTAGGAGTAAGGAAAGAGTAAGGCTACTTATTGTTTGCTGAAACTTCCACTCGCTCCACTGTCATCAGCTGGAGCTGTCGGAATCCTCTACTTAAGGTATATTGGAAGAGAGAAATTCAAGTAGGCACACTAGGGGAAAGACCAGACCAGTGTGGTCCAACCACAACAATCATCCTCTTGCTTTGCAATGACTTCTGGGGTCTTTTTCTCAATAGTTTCTACCACAAATAGATCTGTAATTTCCTCTTCCATCTCAGGCTTTCTGCTATATAACTCTTTCATTTGTTGGCAAATGCAGCAGCACTGTGTGATTCATTTCCCCAGCCCCTGGCTCTGAACTGAGCGTGTAGCATGGTGCTTCAGCTGAGATGCGTGCAGGAAGAAGAGATCAAAACTTTGGTGGTAAATAGGGCTTGTGGGCAGATGAGCAGATTCAATGTGTCAAGCATGCCAGGGATCCTTTGCTGCACTCTGATCACGGCAAGCAGTTCTGATTTTCTGTATATAGTGTGGTTGCAAAACTGTGGCTTGAAACTTTGTTGGAAAGCTAGGCAATACAGAGCTGCACAAATTTGTATCTCGCTCCTTTTGCAGCAATAGCTGCATAGGAAAACTACGCAGCACAGGCTGACCTAAGAACCATAATTACTCAATAAACAACAGCGTGCCAGGCTTAGTTTTGTATACACTGCTTCTCGGGTGGGTTTTGGCTGGCATCCACAATGCAGAACACAGACTGCACCACTGGAGGGCTCACAACCTGTTTAAACAGATGTTATCTTATCCTTATGACTTATTTATAAACTAGAAGATTTATGCAGAGACATTTTGTCTCTAAAATACCCTGTTTTGTTGCAAAGTCACTATTGCTTTTGCTAGACGCTACGGCTATCTCTGTATTACTCAAGTAAACATAGCATTGGTATGGCGCTAACGACTGCGTTCAAAACATTTGTCTCCCTTGCTCTCCAAAGATCATGGGAGTGATCCTTAGCCTGTCCCAGAGCAGTATTTGGGACAATGTAAGTTAGTCAAATCCAAAATAACGTTAGGAACAAGGTAGCAGTTTAAATAACTGCATTTTAGTGCCTAGAAATGTCCTGCAAGGTCTTTTAATATACAAGAAAAGGCATAATCTATGAGCAGTCTAGCCAGTAACTATAGTCATGCTGATTGAATATGATTGCAAGTGTCGTTCTGAACATCATAGAAGTAATGATCACAAAGTTGTGGAATGGAGCAGCAAAACTCAGATAAAACAAGTATTTTTTTCATTAAAAAACTAAGACCTGATAGTGTTAGGACAAAATACAGTTTGATGCTACCCTAAAAATCCACTACTTTGAAGTACTTGTGGGAGGAGTAGTTGTCTCGCATATTTCAGTCACAGAAACATTTTGGTTCTGTTTGTAGAAGGATCAAGACAGGTGCCCTGGAGTCAGAGATGGAAAGTCTCCTTCTCCTTCAGTGTTGTTTTGGGTCATAGATCATTGCTACCTGGGCAAAGGGGTTCTGAGGTAGCACCAAGTGACACTAGAAAGGCTGATTTTGTTGTGGAAAGACTGGGATGGCAAAAGCAGCTTTTAGCCACCCATGTTAACCATCTGGCATAGGTTATGGAACTTTCTTCTCGGCACCATTTCATCAGCATTGATGAAATGACTGCAGTAATCCTGCCTCTGGGTCCTGTGTCCACACTGTATGAGATGATGTTTAAAAATTGGAAGGAATTGAAAGAGAACGACAAAATACAGACAGGGCTGGACCCATGCTTTATAATTAGGAATTTGAAGAGGTCAGCCTACTGAATTTAGCAAAACAGCATCTTTTTTTTTTTTAAGGGCTATAATTATATATGTTATTACTGAGCCTCTTTCAGAAGAGCCAAAAATGTAAGTTAGAAAAGTTTTAGGTGGAAATGAGATGCTGTTTAGTAGTGGATGGGTAGGTGGCCATTGAGACAGCTTAGTGTAGAGGTGCCATTAACGTCAATAGTTTTGAAGTGGGATAAGGCAGTTTTCTAAAATAAACAACCTAGCTAAAATCAAACAACTTGGCTTCACTATGTTTGCTTGCATAAGAGGAGAAGCAACAGACTCTTTCCACCAAAGGATGTTTGGAAACCAGAAAGTCTACATTATTTAGGGATACAGTAAGGACTTTGGGGATTGCCATGAAGTCTCAGAGTAGGAGACATGGAAGCAGGCAAATGCTCAGCCAGAGCTTATGTAAAAACAAAGATAACTCCTTGTTTAGCACTGACTCATCATCTTGTGCTTGCCTCTGAACCCCCCAATCAGACAATCTTGAAAGAATGTATTAATTGCACAAAAATTACTTTGAATACTTTTAGAAAAGATAAATAATTCCAGACAACAGGATTCCACTGCCACACAAATTCTTTTTGTCTCAATCCCAGTTTTTCTCATTACTCCAGTCAAAGTATGTTTTATGGAAGAACTGAAGTGGAAGTAGACAGAAACTTAAGCTGCTATTGTATCTGAGAGCATGTTCTACTGCTGACCCACCAGTGCATGCCCCCTGTCTCAGCTCCATATCAGGCTGACACCTCGGTTGTCTGTGCATAACTTTCTTCTCTCACTCAGTGCCCAAGACATTAGACCGTGGCTTTCCATCATCCTGAAGGTATAACTCTTATTGTTACAATGTTTTTTTTCTAAAGGCACGTCAGTTATCATCCCCTGGCCTCCCAAGGTCTCATCTTGTAAATGATATATATATCACTTCATGAAAATATGTAGTATGCCAAGCTCTTAAGATGGTGCTAGAACATAATGTAAAGAGATGCAATGTATTACTACTCAGTATTAGAAACACAAAGTCCAAGAATAGGAGAAAGTCCAAAAGAGAATGAGTAAACTTCTCTTTTCCCATGTCATTTCTCATCTAACACTTACAAGAGAAAACGAAAGAGAAATGAAATACATGGAGTGCTAAACTTTTTTTCCAGCATTATTGAACTGCCTGGAGCACTCCCCATGCATTCCCTTTGCAGTCTGGCTGGCCTACAGGGTGGTCATCTCCTTGGGCAAACCATCTGTGTCACTCTTCATCTTTTGAGGCTTATCATCACATTAGCAGCAAGAGATAAATCAACCTGTAAGAAATTCAAAGATTTTTGGCTATGACAGCTCTGATAATATAATTGCCTCTCAAGGAGAGTTTCCTATTATTCTTTCTAAACTTTATTCTTTGTTAAATATCTTCAGTGGCATCTGTCACATAATGAATGGAAAGACTGAAATAGGACTGTCACCTTAGGAAAATGAGAGGGGAAGCTTTAACCAAGCTCCTGATCCAATGAAAGCTGAATATCTTCTATTTTTTTGCAGACTGCTAGCACTCTTGTTGTAGCTGAAGCCAAATCTTCTGGAATCTACAGCTGCGTGGCATCCAACAAAGTAGGAAAAGCCGAAAGAAATGTCAGCTTTCTTGTAACAGGTATGATCTACTCTGGTCCTATGGTTATATTTGTGATGGATTTTTCAAATGCCTAAGTTTGAGTATTGTTGCAATATGTGCATTTTGTAAACTTATCCCATGCTTATTGGTGTCCCTGGGAAGCGTTTGTGACAGCAGCTGGTTTGAATTTGTAAGAAAGACACCAAATTTGGTAAATGACTCATGCCTTCAACAAGTATCCTTGCATGACACGAATTGCTCCCAAATATAGCAACCTGTAATTCCTCCTTTTAAATCACCTAGTCTCTGCAGTCACTCCAAACATGCAATGCCAGCGCATTTTCACCTAGTAGGCCTTCTTCTGAGACACAGTCTTGGAAGTAGTCTTGGTCATGATACTAAGACTCATCATGTTAGCATGGTTCCTTTTTTTTTGACCTATCACTATATAAGAATTTGCAGGTTTGGAAACAAACTGAAATTATTTGACATCAGGAATTACTGGGAAAAAAGCCATGTGATTTTAAGAGAGTAACTACTGCATGATTTAGCGCCATGATGTTTGCAGATGCCATCAAGAAGGATTTGTTTTCTAGTGAAATATTTTATTTATGTAATATTTTATTACAAAACGGTAGTAGTTCATAGAGCACTTCATCTAATGACAGTTCCCAAGATAGGTCATTAAAGTAATGTGATCCATCCAGAAATATGGCAACATCCCCACACTCATTTTGTGAACCAAAAACTTTGTTTCTGAAGTGTTTTGGCTGTAATAGTACATATTGACACATAATTGTTCCTAAATTAACATGCTGTTTGAGCTGTATTTTCAGCTTCAAGTGAGGACTTTGCACGTAACTTTGAGCAGTGGCTGAGAGTCACTCACTGAGGTTGTTGTGCATTGAATGTGCAAGATAATGAATATGAACTTCTCTAGCTCTTAATTATCAGTCTTCAAAATGCCACATGGAAGACCCTGGAACCAAATAAAGCTGAATTTTGATTTGCAATATGCAGATCTCCCTTTCAAAGTTATGATGACTGTTTGAGACATTTTAGTGTTGTGGCATGAGTTACATGGGTTAGTTTCCCTTCCTAGATCTCACATTTTCAGATCTTGACCAGGGACTGAAGGAAATCTTTCTCTTTGATACCAGAGCTTGCATGAGAACATGCAGAATATTAAGACTTCCCTTTGAAGGCTCTGGCACTGGCTGGCATGAAGAGAAGTGGTTTCTCGGCTTGGAAACTCTTAACAGCTTGACTGGTGGCAATCTTTTTATATAGGATGGTGATGCTGAAAAGCATTTTTCCTTTGAGTTCTTGGAGCTAAGCAACATAAGCTGTGAGACATGGAAAGTCCTGCTCATCTGCTGATGCTCAGTTGTGCTGATTGAAGGCAGCTTATTTAAACAATGCTGCTGTGTTGTTCTTACAAGAATGAAGTTAGACTTATTCTTCTATGCACATAGTGCATCAGTTGATTGTGTGGTATAATCATAATTCTCCTCTGTCAGGCTGAAACCAGACTGCTTGTGTTTCACTTCAAGGAAACAAATGAGTAATTTCTCCAAAATTCACTGAAATACATAGCGAGGGAATTCTAATCATGAGCCCAAATAGTGCTGGGTGTGAAAGAAATGGGAAGACACCACAGAGTATTTACTTCTGATGAGTTCAAAACCAATATTTTGGGTCTTGGGTGACAGCCTGGGGTTAGTTTATCTCATGCTGTTGGGACTGCTGGCGCCATATGAAGCCAGCCTGAGCCACACAAAACTGAGTGCAAGTGGAGAAAGTGTCTAAACAGAAAAGACAATCCCTTATAGGAGGAGGAGCTGCTGAGGAACAAGCCAGAAAGGATCCCAGAGAGTAGAGAGAGACAGAAAGACTCCGATTTCTTGGAGGCAGTCACACTCAGGCCTTGTCTTAAGGAACAGGAAACGCTCCAGTGGAGCAGCTGTGGGGTCGTGAGCGATCTCTTCCCAACAGGTCAAGACTGCTGGGAAGGCAGTGGGAAGACAGAGACCATCCCAGCAGGCCTAGTTCTGCACTGTCAGCCCCTTTATGAGAAGACAAATGTGAGGAGTTTAGTGCAAGAAAGTGTAGCAAAGGGGACCAAGTAAAAAAAAAGCCCTTGTTTTAAAATTAATGTACATTTCTCATTATTTCTGGGCTTGCATGTGTCTTTCCAGAAGATGTGAGGGTGGTATATTTTTCCACTCTGTGCCTGAGGGTACAGGGCATGAAGTCCAGGGCTCTTGGTAGCTTTCCTTTCCTTTGGCTTTTATCAGATGAAGGGCATTTTTGGGGTGCTGGCACACTAACCTGATTCTAATCCTAAACCTGTGTTTGGGGTACAAAAGCAGCTGTGAGTCTTACATGCAGGTGATACGGAAAGATGATTTCTGAGCTCTCCTGCTTGTTGATGCTGAAACAATCTCTGCAACAACACCTTTATACCAAATTCAGCTGTGGTAGCCCCCTTCCCTCCAGCCTGCCCCTTTCCCTACATTTTGGGCTGTTTTGCTGGCACGCAGCAGACTCATGGGTGTGTTTGCAGTTATACAGGGTAAAACAGGAACAGCTCACCCTTATCTCCCTGGTTTCCCAATGTCACTAAGCGCATTTTATTTTGAGATTCCTGATGGTGCTTGGCAAAGATAAACAAAATCTTCCATCAGGAAACCTGGGAGCTATTTCCACAGGAAGCTTCAAATCACTAAAGTAAATAAAACCGTTTTACATTATTCCCTGCCACGTTATTTAGCTAGCCTGAGTCTGTAACAATTGGTGAGAGGTGTCATATATTAGGGTGCTCGTAGCCTTTAAACAAATTATTCTCTTGGAATCCTGTGCATTCGCCTTTGTCCTTAGATTTATTCAGAAAATAGTCTTTCTTCAGAGAAGACACATCTAGGAAATGTTCCAGACCTGACAACGTGGAAGTAGTTGCAACTATATTGTTATGCTGGCATACCATCCTTTTATGTTGAAAGTAGTTCATTTGCCTCAGACCCAGGGGATCTTTAATTTCATCTTTAGAGTTTTGCTTGACACTTCTTAGCTCTTTTCTGAGCGCTGGCATCTGCAAAAGCCCAAAATTAGCAGCATTCCAAACCAGTAACTTGCTTTTCCCAATACATATCAGAACAATTTCAGATATTATGTGATTAAGATACAGCAGTTTTATAGATCAGAACACTTATGCACCACCAAAATTTTGCACCTTGATTGAATTTAAGTGCTTCTGAACTCGATGGTTCAATCAAGCAGAGAATTCACTTCATCTAACTGAAGTAGTAAGGTCCAATGATAGAGCAGAATCTCTGGAATTTGACTCATCCAAAGATGGTGGGTTGCATAGCCCTGTGGAGGTGCCTGCATCACTCCATGGGCTGTAAGCTTTTGCCCATACACAAAATAACTGTATTCAAGCGGATGTTAATGCTTTATATTAAATATGTTTTTTATTCTACAGCAATAGGTTTATCTTACTACTTTCAGTCAACATATACTCAACTGGGACTAGAATCTTGCTCCACATGCTCTTCCATAACAAAGAGGATGCTGATGATAATCACTTATTTATAAGTTCATTAAATTTAAAGATTTGTGTTGTTTTGTTTGATGGGGAGTGGTAAAAAGGGGATCCCAATGAAATATGAAAGGAACAATTCAGCACATAGGATTTAAACTTCAGTATGACGTTTTTGTATTTCTGCTTGCATTGGGATAATCCTTGGATTGCATACATGCATACCTCCCTGGAAGACATCTGGAGGGATCTTCAGTACCTGATTCACAGGAGTTCATTTTTCCTATTTTTAATACTCAGTACTTAGTACAGAAAAGAGACACAAAGGTAATCAAGGGAGCTAGTGATGCCAGGCCTCTATGAATGGCAATGGTGAGCAGATCATGTCTGTTGATCCTGGGGGAGACAAGGTAGCTCGATTTGCAGTAAGGGGATTTAGAGAGTCAGGAGGAGCTTTCTGGTGGATTGGTCAATCAGTGAAAGAAGTTGCTGAAAGTGTGAGATGTTCTTCACTAGAGACCTAGTCTTCACTCTGCTGCTGTGACATTAGGCCTGAAGTGACACTTGCATGCATGGAGCTGAATCAAAGCTTGTGTTGAGCTGTTCATGCTCTACGAGACAAGAAAAGAAGGCATAATTCTCCCTTATGAAAGACAAAACCGTTCTTACGATTTCAAGGCGATTTCACAGCCAAGTGCTGTAGCAATTAGCAGTGAGAGAACAATTGAAAATGGCCAAAGCCGATTTCACTGAAAGGAGAAGGAAATGACTTTATCAGCATATTGGCTACAAATAAACCAGGAGAGGTTGCATTCTAGGAGAAAAACTTGGAAATGTTTTCTCTCAGGAACCTGCCTCTACTTTCACTTATGCCTGCAGCATGTCTCTGCCTTGCTCAAAGGGTGAGGCTCAGTGGAGAGGTGCTGGAGGTAGCCAGCATGCCCACAGGTCTGCACCTTTCTCCAAGTGATGTAAATCTTACAAGCAGTTGCCCACATGACTTCACCAAAGATGTTTCTTTCAGCTGTAGGATGAATTGAGCTGTCTGCTATGAACTGCGCTTAATTTTAAGTCATACTCACACTTGGGAAATGGTTGGTGCAGTGATTCTTGGTTTCTCTCAGGTAGAGCTATTATTCACCTACATTTAATGCCAAGAAGTCTGAATACAGTGATCTTTGCCTTGATACTGCCTACACCCAGCTGGCCGTCAGGCCAGAGGGCAATGACTCTGCTTTTCTGCCATGTGGCCAAAGTGTTTTATGTACATGGAAGAAAATATCTCTATTTTGGGGGAAATTCAGGCATATAACCACATATTCCATGATTTCTCCAGATTTTAAGCATATTTAAGAAATTGACATAAATTATCTTACTACTCGTGAATAATGAGAGAACAACATAAATAAGTACGGTAGCCGGAGTATTTTTCTCTCACCATCTAGAGATTCATCTTCTCTTACACAGTTCACAAGCTGCAGCTGAGACCGGAATTTCTCCCTTTTTTCATAGTCCCAGCATGCTGTCTTTAAATAATTCTCCTTTTGGTACCTTGCCCCAGTCTGTCTTGCCTTATCATAACATTTATACAAACTCAGTACTTCCAAGAACGGCTTCAGTTTACACCAGATGATGTCCAACCCATGTGTCTTGTAGCTCTAAGACAAATTGTCGAAAAGCTGGAGCCTAGCATGAGAAAGGAAAGCTGAGAGACTTCAGCAGGAAGACAACGACATTCGTTAGTTCAAAGACTTTCTGATAAAGGGGGTGATATACGCCGTGTTAATTTTGGCTCATTCACTTAACATAATCTAAAAAGTGTTCTTGATTTTTGACAGATGTACCAAGTGGATTCCACATAAGTTTGGAAAAAGTTCCCATTGAAGGAGAGAATCTGGTATTGTCCTGTTCAGCCAACAAATTCATGTACAAAGACATTTCTTGGATTTTACCGAGGACAGTCACTAATCAAACGAAAGCAAGAAAGGCCCTCAAGGAATACTCCATCACCCTCACTCTGACCATCAAGAATGTTTCCCTGGCACACTCGGGCACCTATACCTGCCGAGCAAGGAACATATTCACGGGGAAAGAAGTGCTTCAAAAGAAAGACGTTTCAATCAGAGGTGAGCACTGCAACAAAAAGGCTGTTTACTCTCGGATCCTCAAATATAAGAGCACAAGGAATGATTGTACAACACAAAGCAATGTAAAACATTAAAGGACTCATTAAACAGTATCAGGTGTCTCATATCATCTTGATTTCTTATTGCTGTTGCCACCCTTCAGGCCCTGAGGTGGTGCACATTCCCCCATGGGTTGGACGTAGGAGGAATAGCAGACAAAATCTTTGCGTGAGCTTCCAGTTGAGTTCAGACGGGTATTTTCTGCTTTGACAAAGCACGTGGAAGCTGGGGTTTGGAAGATCCCCTGCGCTACATTTTGCATATTGTTCTTTTTTCTCTTGCTGTCTCCTGCTGAGTGATCAGGAAAACTTTGGATCAATCTTTTCTTCCACTTTGGTATCGGCCTCGTCAAAAGTCAAAGCTGAATAAACTGATTAACTTTAAAAACTGCTGTTTTCAGTCAACCACGGACATTAAATAAGTTAACATTAATGCGCAGAATGAGCACAACTCAGTTTGCGATTGACTGGACTATATATTTTTTATTTTAATCTGATCTTGATGGACTTATAAATATTACCTGCTGAGCAAGTTCTAATGCTTATTTATTTGAAATTATTTTCTACACTAAAGTACATTAATCTTAAAAAGTATCTTCTAAAGGAAGTATGCAGGGAAGAAATAAAAATGTCGATATAATGCACAGCTCTATCATATCATTTATAATAATGACGATTTAAAAACTGACAGACATGAACTGTGTTTCTCCAAATAAATTCAGGTAGATTTCCAGTTGCTGTGTTGGTCAATTTTTAAAGTCAGTTCTTCAACAATGTAAACAGCTATCGATAAAAGTGTGAGTGTTATTTCTGGCCTGAAGATACAGGAATTTGTAATGTTGTAATTATTTTATTAAAAGAAATATCCCACAGTGTTACAGCCAGCACAGTAAGAGATTTAATACATTTTTAAAAATACAGGTCCCAAGCTGAAGCCATTAAAAATATTCATTGCTTTTGGTATCAGATGTCAATTGGATTTATTATGGGGATTAAGAACCAGACAGACAAACTGCTGAAGGAGAATTAAGGGCAACCTTAAACTTTCTTGTGAGCATTTTCCTTTTTTTTTTTTTTTTTTTTCCTTATTCATGATTTTGCTATGAGATGTTTCTGTGTATTATAAATTCTGTATAAGGAAGAAGTTACTATTTTTAATAGATCTGATAACTTTATTTTTTTACAATACATAGCTTTTATTATTTTTGGTTACATTTATGATTGATCATTTATATAGCATTTACATAAGCCGTAACAAAACAGACCATAGAGACCAAAATAGCTACAGCAAAGGAACAAAGTGGTTGTGCTTCTAAAATAGAGGTTGACAACACGACAGTTTCTTGTGCTTGGGAACTCACCAGACAATTTCCTCCTTTAGGTATCAAGACTGTGTCCCACGGCTAAACTTGTCTTTCACGTGGGAATTGCTTTTGTCAAGTGTGAAAGGGTAAACAATAGCATTTCCCCGTAATGCCAGTTTCATGGAGCCTAAAATGCATAGAAAACAATTGATAACCTGGAAGTTGTCAGAGTAAAGAAAAGAATAATCATTTCTATCTTGAAATGTCACCTATAGCCTGCTTGTATACAGTAGCTCTTTTGTTCATTATTATGTGATGGCTTCCAGAAACAATACCTTCTTGCAAAGGGACCTGGGTCTCTTTTTTTTTTCCCCTTAAATATGCCTAAAAAGCAAGTGAAATTGTTGGTGATGGCTTAAAAATGGGCAAATGCACTCTGGAGCATTTGCAAGTCTTCAGAAGAATTACAATACCAAATTCCCTTTCTTAAGAGGCTGTTTTGTGGGAAGACATTTGATGGCAAGGTGGGCGGTGATGACAGGACATTCTGAATTTTCCATGGCCTTGGGAGCCGGAATGTGATGCTTTGTAGCAGCCAGTTGCCAGACAGTATGAGTGTAGGTCAAAAAAAGACATGCCCCTTAGTCTATTCCTCTGTGAAATGGCTGTGAGCTGCAATGATACACTGCAATTCACTGCCGAGTGAATGTCCTGCCAGCCTCAGACAGCCCCACTGTGTGAGGGTGTTGGGAGGTCCCTGTGGACCTGCCCATGCTGGGAGGCACAGGGAAACCTCATTGGAAAGCAGTTCTTGGTGGCCAGACATAAACTACTGTTGCTCTTGATGTCCTCAGATGATGGGAGAACCTCAGAGGTTTGGGGAGTTTCTCTGTCTTTTGTTGTGTAATATATTAGTTAGGGAGAAAGGTGTGAATTATATTTCTTTTTTTCTTTTTTTTTTTTTTTTTTAAGTGTTAAAATTAAAGCTTGTATTTATATTTTTGTACTGGTTAATAAAAAGAAGTGGACAAACAACGTAACTATAACAAAGGGCAAAGGTGTACAGAATGGAAAATATATCCCCAAATGAACAAATCGTAATGTATTCCTCCGTTCTGCTCCGGGTCTGTCATGTACTATGACACCAGTGTCCCCTTCTCCCCTCTGTGACCTCCTGTCACCTCCCTGGACCAAACTCTGCCTACAATGAAGTTCCTTGGGGCAACTGAGAGCAGAGTCTGGCCCTCGGCTTCGGGGCGAGCGGAGCAGGGCAGCACAGCTCCCGTTTGGAACTCTCTCTGCTTGTCTGTGCTGCAAAAACGAGCAGGAGGAAGCAGGTGGTTGGCAAACCTAATCCTCAGGTTGACCGCATCCTTGAAATATCAGCCGATTGCAGAAGAGAAATTACTGCAAATATGTGAATGGTGACTGGAACTAAGTTTTAAGCAAGACAGTTTTTCTTGATATGGAAACCCAACCTTAGTGTATGGCTATAAAAAAATTAAAATAATCACAAATAACTCATAGAATGTGTGATTTGCCTTTGTTGTGTCATCTTATCTGCCTTCACTTCGGATGTTTGGGCTGGGGTGTCCATCATTTATCATTGATGAATGCAAAATGTGGAGATCTTCTCAGTTTGTGGATGTGGATGCGTGTCAAAAGGTGCCTTTTCATAGACAGATTGTTGTGAAACAATGAGAAATGTGCAAAAATCACAGAGGGTGACAATGAAAAGAGGACTGCCCTCTTGGCTATAAGGCAAATATTGTTGACCTTATTGTTTCTGTAGGTGTTCAGTGAAGAACGTGCTGAACAGATGCTCTCATAGGCATTGCTGATTGTGAAGGGAGAAGATCGTCTGCTATGCTGTCAACAAATAATAGCATTAACCTTGGAAATTACAGACTTGCAGCTCAGAGAAGCCACAAACTGGCCGTTGCAGGTTCACTATGCTGGGATTAATTTCAAGAGATAAAAGCATAGCAAAGGTAGCCTACAATAAAAGCATGAAAAAGCTTTTAGTGCCACAGGGCTTGTGCTGTGTAAGCCACGCTGTATAAGCTGGTGGTATGTAGGTGCTTCACTTTTCTGGAGAGCTTTTATTCACATCTGGTAACAGAGCGACTGTGAAGATGAAATCATCTGATAGACAGTCAGTTTTTCATAAAGTACAAAATACAATCTTCCAAACACAGAATGACAGAAGTTTAGACAGAATTATACTTGGTGTATTGATATCTACTGCAGTTCAAATGAAAATATCAGCAGAGTGCTTTTTTATTTTATTTTGATCTATTTCATATTTTACAACATTTTACCATGTCAGTAACTACTAATCCAGGCAGCATCCTCGAAAGGAAAGACTCTAATTCAGTTCTTGCAAGTCTGGGGAAATTCAAGGGAATCTGCTGTGCCTCTGCATCAAGAGATTGCTCGGGATCTCCCCGTATTCTCCATCACTGCTTTTCAGGAACTCAAATATCAGAAGGAATCATGTGGGAGCTGTCAATGTCACAGAAAACTGTTCCTCTGTAAAGCGTATAAATGCTGTAGATGCCTTTGTCAGAACGCCCTCCAGCTCTGTATGAAACAGGGGAAGGAGTGCTAAAATGCTGAAATGAGGATGGGAAGGATTTGTCGTTTTGCTTCTCCTGGAGATGACTTCATTGTGACGTCTATGAAGTGTTTGGAGATGCCCTTCCATTCACTTGGGAGACAATCCAGCAGGAGCTGCACTTCACATATACATTGTCACTAAATGTCACGGATGTGTTTTATTGCGTTGCATTCACCTGGATTTTGGTAGATTTTGGCAGAAAGTGAAAAAAAGAGCAGCGTTGCTATGCTGCATGGTACACTGGTGCTTCGCTTTGGCTCCTGGGATCTGCGTTTCCAACATCAGTGGGCTCCCAGAGGACATGGGCGTATTTATCTGTGCTGCACTCAGCCGAAAAACAAAAGTGGAAAAGTCTGTGAAGATGTTGGGATGCATGACACAATGTTTCTGTTCTCATCGTTTCTGGTTTTAAACTGTGCAGGTTTACTGAATATGATTCATAACTGTATTCTTTAAAGTAAGTAAAATATACAAGTTGTATTTATGGGTATCACGGTGTACTGCTTAGTGCCATCTGTGACGCTCTGGCACAAGGGTGTTCTGCTAATAGTTGACAGTCCTGGTCTCACAGTTTGTTTCTCCTGTCTGCAAAATTATGAGCTTTCATACAAATGTATTGGTTTTGATAAACCAGTGTGGTTGACAATGGAACTGGGGAAATCTGTTAAACAATGTCATTGGGTGTCCATTGGTCATGACAGCCTACTCCCAGTGAGTAATGGGACCAGACCAGGTGCTCTTAAATGAACCAGGATGGTAAATAAAATCTGTGAACAGTTAACGTGGTACAATTGTCATAGAGGTCCTACATCACTCAAGTGCTAGTAGGGAGGATAATAAAGCCCCACAGTTACAGGAATGTAAAACAGAAGTGTTGTTTTGTCTCGTAGCGCAAGAGGCACCAGCTCTGCTGCGGCAGCTTGTGGATCAGACGGTGAACACCAGTAACTCTGCCATGCTGGAGTGCCAGGTTCATGGCATCCCCGAGCCCCAGATAACCTGGTTTAAAAACCACGAGGAAATACAGCAAGAATCAGGTGAGAGCTCTGACCTTGTACAGCCTTTTTATTGTGTCCTGTAACCGTGTGCAGATTCCCTGGCATTGGTACCCGGACGTAAGCAGCATTGCCTGAGCATTACGAGTCTGTTAGGTTCTACCTTCTCACTCCAAAAAGTCAACCACTGAGAAGGTACCTATGGTGTCAGTGGGAAAAATACAGATGTAGATATCTCAGCATCTTTTAAGAGTCATCTCCAGAGAATCCTACTTCCCTCCACTTACTATAGAGGGAGCCTAAGGATCAGGTGTCTTGGCTGTGTCAGGTGTCAGAGTACAGCTAGATGGGAGAACACTAAGCTGAAGTGATGTCTGTGCAAGTACCAGGGGGAGTATTGTCAGGAATGCAAAGTCTGTTCTTGATTCACAGCCCTACCATCAGACTAATCCCATCTAATGGGTTCCCAAAAATGGAATGTGTCTGCCTCAGCCAGGGGAATCCAAGTTTCATGCAGCAGAAAAGAAGAGCTTCCTCTTGGCATTCTGCTACTGCAGGAAAGCTTTGGGAGATGTTACTGCTGTGTCCAAATGCAGCTTCAAACATCATTTCATGCTACATAATAGCACCTCAGCTGTAGAAGTGTTCCTTGATAAAGTGTTCCTCAGATAAAAACGAGTGAAAAGACAAAACCTTTCTCATGGGAATCCATCCACATTCAAATCAGGATCACAGAGTGACATCATGTTACAGGCTTAGCAAAAAATGTTCAAGGAGATTTGGTTTGTGGAAACTCGAAACCTGTGGAGTCCTAAATAACTTTTTACAAAGCTTGTGTTTGAGGTTCTGGCCTACGCTACTGGAAATTACTGTGTCATGAGCAAAGGCAGTGGGAAGAACTCTGAGTATTTGCAAACTTCCAACACAGTCACTAAAATTAGTGACCACATGGTTGTAACGTGAATTTTTCACATTATCTTCTGGAGTAGATGTTATGTGTCTAACTTGACCGTAATGCAACACATAAGGTTAGGAACCAGGAAGACATCTCTATAGGGTCAGTAAGAGCACTTTAATTAGCTGCCTGGAATCGCTGGTGGAAATGCATTTCAATGGGACTTCGGTCCTGATGGAGCCAAATGCACAAGTGTGTACTTGACTGCACATTTCCTGGCTATATCATGTCTGTAAGTCGGGCCTGATGCCAAATCTGCTGCCTGCCACTTCCTCATTCACTGGAATATTGTCAAGGCTGGAGTCTGGGTTGAGGAAGCTGGAACAAGAGAGGTGTTGAAAACTTCAGGTAACTCCTACGTCGTAGGGTGCACCTCATTGGGATCTTTCCTTGCAGAAGCTGATCTCCTTCTGATAAGGGGTTCAGTGTCACATGTGTGAGTAGGATTTGGGGTGAATGTGCTGCCCGTGAGGCCGATGAGGACACATGGAGCTGGTCTGGGAAGCATGACAGTCCTGTTCCTGTGAGTGCAGCAGGAAGCAAGGAGACCACCCAGCTCCCGGAACTTAGTGACATGCTGAGGAACTTGCTTGGGAGTCAGGCCACAGTGCCAATCAGCACCCGTGACACCAGCTGCTCCCAGCATCACTCCCTGAGGGCTGAGCTTTTCAAACACACAAGTGCTCTGCAAACAGATTTCCAAAAGATTCCCAAAACTTCCAAGTATATTTGGCTTTCTTGGGGATAACACTGCACTGTGCAGTCTGTGGCTCAGATTTCCTTTGAGGAGAACTTGAAGCAGATATTATTACACGAGTGACTGTTTATGTTTATATCCTGGCTCCAGCTCATTGCAAAATACTTCATTTCACAGGAATAATTTTAGGGCCTGGAAGCCGAATGCTGTTTATTGAAAGAGTAAAAGAGGAGGATGAAGGACTTTACCAATGCATAGCCACCAACTTGAAGGGATCTGTGGAGAGCACAGCGTATGTCACAGTACAAGGTAAAGCACGGCGTGGCATGGGAAGAGCTAGCCAGCCAGGGGGATGCTCTTACTGTGGCTGGGAGGGATGGGGAATGGCTTGAGCAGCATGCGGCAAGCTCTGAAAGCAGCAATCTGAAGGAAGTCCTCACAAGGGAAACGTACCAGGTTGGAAAGGAAGCCCAACAGGAAATGCTAACTCAGAGTGTGTTTACACTGACCTAAAAAGAAGAATTGCTTCAACCCAGCAAAGATCGGGTCAGGGTAGAAGACAAATGTAAATTTAGCATCATCAAAACAAACAAAAACCAAAATACAGAACACCCTCCTACCCCCTCATTTTCTCATTTTGGTTTAATTCCACAGAAATTAGAGGCCTGGGATATTTTCATTTGTTTGTTTTTTTTCAATGCAACTGAACTAGAAGACTTCAGGCTAGCACTTGATGAGGCCACATTTAAAGGTACCTACTGTGAGAAGTAGGTACGATCTCCTTATTTCTGTAGCCGTTACCTGAGTTACTTTGCTCTTCATTTAAACACCCAGTGTTGTTCTGCCTTCCGCCAAGCCTGGCCCAGGCCTGTGGTAGTGACTTCCACCAAGCAACTGTGGATTGTATTCAAATAAGGTTAATTCAATGATTATTCAGTTTTATTGGATATCCTTTTGGTTCATCTATTATGAGGTAGTGGAAATAAGCTCGTGTTCTCCATTTATGTCACTGTCATGTGCAAAATTGGCATAACTTGACTTATTGATTGCATGTGTTAAGTAAATAGATCTAAATTCATTTAGTATCTCCTTATAAAAGACACTTTGGCTACCATCCAGTCTCTTAGGCAGGGATTATATCTTTGTGGTTGTTCTCATAAAATTACTAAATGTATCTGAATACCACTGAGTATTTCAATAGTACCCTACAGCAAAAGACAATTACAGCTAGTAAATCAGTATGGATTTTCTGCTGTGAATGTTTTAGTAGTCTCAGCTAATGGGCATCATTGATAACACAATAAAGTTACTTTTAAAGGTCAGGGTAGACATATATACATGTGGGCTGACCTAACAGATGTAATCAAGGACATAAAACCACTCATCTCCTTCTGAATGATGCCAAGGATTTAATAGCCATTGTAATCACTAACATAATGACCTGTCCCTCAGCGGTTGCTGTCGGATGCCTCCTGCTAGTTGATAGTTTTGGACAATGTAGTACGTTGTGGTATTGATTACTGTACCACTGTATCTCAGCTATGTATTACAACCACACTCATTCCGTCAGAAGGCTTCTAGGAAGTCATATCTCCTTCTACATGAACCAGAGTAGAAGGAAGACCACAGCCAGGAGGATCTCTTCTCTAGTTACTTGCCCTGTAGGGATCACTGGCAATGTGCTTGCTTGACTCCAATGGGAGCTCTTAGATAAGCAAGAAATGAAGTCTAGCATATTAAAATATATAGCTTTGAGACTGAATGAGACAGGCATAGGGAGTTTTTCTTATCTACTATAATGAGGAAAAATATGTTCCCACGCTCTCTCTTCTGATCGCATGACAGGATGTCACTGGAGGTGTTTTCACTCATTCCAAATGCATCAGTTTTATCCAAAGTGGAGTCCCTGACATTCTCATGGGGAAGGGCTGCCTCCCAGCCCGCTCCTGAGCCTGCAGCAATGGGATTGAGGCTTTAATGGGGGTCCCTCTCCAGGCTTTGCCCCTTCATTGTCTTTCCCAGGGTGCACACCGTGCCATCACCACCAGTGTCAGCACTTCCCCCTGTCCCACCGGCTCTCAGGTCGCGGTGCTGCAGATCAAAGCAGCAGAGCAACGCCTTGTGTTGGTGTCTGTGTTTAGCAGTTGGGAGAGGAGTTTGCAAATGTGTCAGGAAGGAAATAGTCTGCTCTTTTTATTTCCTCTGAAAAAACATTCTTATGCTCACAGATAAAACAATGTGTTATTTTTGTACCAGAGATGGATGAATGGATGGTGGAATCCAAGGGCTGTCTTTAAATAATCTCAGCCGTTGTTTGGTTTGGAAGCTGTGCTCGTGGGGCTGTCTGAGAGGAGTGGGGCCATGTTTGTGAATATGTCAGAGCAAGCTGTCCATTTGCTCTTGGCTGAGGAACTGAAGAGACAGTGAATGTGAAAAGACAGAACAAGGACAGCAAATGGCTGCCTGAGCTGCCAGCAGACAGAAAGGGGCATGTCTCTCCAACCTGGTGGCACAGTCTGCTGGACACAATAGGGACACAAGCTGTCTGAGACTGCTCTGCTGCACTGGTCTGTGTTGCCATTAAGGCCACATCCTTTCTTCTCCTGTGGACTTCAGCACACCACCCCTGAAGGAATCTGGTGACAGAGCTGGTGGCAGAACGGCAACGAGAGAAGAAGCATCACACTCACTTAAGCCCAGAGCTGTAACAATCAAAAGAATACAGCAAAGTGCCCTTTATTAGAGGTGATGCTCCACAACTTCATGTCATCCCTGCTGATGAGAGAGGAAAGCATCACATTTGTGAAGAATTCACTGAACAGTTCTGACACTATGGAAAGGGTGTTTGCTTTTCTTGTAGCTATCTGCTTCTGTAGCTATCCACCCTTCTGAATTTGTACCTTAGAAAGCTGTACTTTTTGGGCCACACTAACTCTGAAGTCATCAGGTATCTTTCTATGAAGCGTATCTGAGACTCCCTTGGTCACTGAGCATGGTCCAGCCTGGGTTATATGGTGACCATATATGAAAAGGAGACCACTGAGGGATACTTCTGTGCCTGCAACCTCAGAGAATCACCAGAACGGGCTGGAAGGGATCCAGTCTCCATCTGAAACCACAGTCACCACCAACACCGCCTCTAGTCAGAGGTGCCTTTGGTCATATGGTAAAAACCTCCAACGATGGGAATCCTTTGGTGTCCCCAAGCACCCTGCCCAGTGCTGCACAGCTGTGATCCCAGGACCATGTGAATTAAGCAGGGTAGTTCCCATCAGTGTGGGAATGGGGCACTTTTGGTGGAGCAGTGACATTGGTGCAGCTGCGTTTGCAGGTACAGCTGGCAGCACCGCTGTGAATCCTGTGCAGAGTTACTGCGCTTCCTATGTACCACACGCTATATCAGAACGAGAGGCAGAGCAGAAGTTCTTTTTGCATTTGCTACCAATCAGAAGGAAAATACAGTGGGGGAAGCGTGGCAACAGATTGCTCTGAAACTGTTTTGTGAGTCCCTGAGTAGCTGTCTGAAGTGAATTTTATTTATTTATATATATATATATTAAGGTCTGTCAGTCAACTCTAATACTCTTCAAATTCCTAATGTTCGTATTCTCCTGCTGTTCTCTTTCCTGCTGTTGTCATTTTTATTTCCCTTCCCCGTGTTCGATTTGTCCTGGGAATTAGAGAGCCTTCCCCACTCCCAACAGGGCTCTGCCAGCATTGCTGGGGGCAGAACAGGTCCCACGTTCACCTGGGGACTCCTGGTTAGCCCTGGGTATGAGGAAGCCCGGCCCCCAGGCTTCTTTCTAATACACTCCATGGGGTTCCAGATGCCTGTGCCATGCTCAGCATGAGATAAGATCCCAGCATCAGGTGGGATATTAGGAAAATTCTCTTCTCAAAAAGGGTGGTGAGGCATTGGCACAGGCTGCCCAGGGTGGTGGCGGAGTCATCTTCCCTGGAGGCATTCAAGAAACATTTAGATGTGACACTGAGGGATGCAGTTAGTGGGCATGTTGGGGATGGGTTGGCAGTTGGACTAGATGATCTTAGAGGTCTTTTCCAACCTTTATGATTCTATGACTCTACAATCTGCTGCCAATCCTGATGCCTCCAAACAAGTGAAGGTCATGGGCTCAACATCACCCTCCAGGCACCTCAGCAGGGCTTTGGGCCAGGGCTGGGCTGAAGAGCTCAGCAAGCAGCATGAGGGACGTGCCCAGGAGGGTTGGAGCAGATCCATACACATTCTCACAAAGAGAAAAATTGGCTAAAAGCCGAATTTTCACCTCAAAAAGAAATGACCACGTGGGTGGTGATGTACTCACCTGTCCGCTTCACCTCCTGCTCCCCAAGGAAGGGCTGGCTTCTACCCAAAACTCGCTGCTGGATCTAGTGACTTTTGCTGCGTTCAGCACAATGGCTTTGCAGAGGAGACCATTTTTTTTCTCCAGTCCAAAAAGAGATAATGCCCCATTGAACATGAGTGGGCCCTTCCTGGTATTTTATTTTAATGACAGAAAAACACACACTGTCCCTGGCTTTGTAGGTCTTTTTCTAAAATGCTTTCTGCTTGATTTTCCCAGGCACAGTGGAGAGATCGAACCTGGAGCTGATAACCCTGACCTGTACCTGTGTGGCTGCAACACTTTTCTGGCTCCTGCTGACCCTCTTCATACGCAAGCTGAAGAGGGTAAGAGTGGCGATGGATGCTCCCAGCTCTGCCTGTCTCCTCTTCCTGTTAGGCTACCAGCATTGCTAGGAACACAAAAAATGGGATTCACTCACTGCTCTCCATCATTCCCTGTGCAGTCAGCAGGGGAACCATGACTCACAGGACTGAGTGCGAGCTGCAAAGCCAGGGCTTGGCATCGTCGGGGAGCCTTTGGGCCAAGGGAGTTTAGCATCTCAGTGTCTTTGAAGACTGGAGCTTGTAAGGATGACAGATCTTCACAGAGCCTGGTGGGGTCTGGTTAGCGCATAGTGTCTGGTACAATTACATCACTTGTAAAGCAATTTTCACTGAAGTCATTTTGGCAGCTCAGTCTCTGGCACAGATGCTCCTGTATCAGCGTGGTGATGCTGTCTGCCCTTCCTCCATATTCAAGAGGTGGCTTAGTGCTCCTTTCTGCTGATAGCCCCCATCCTCACTGCCTGGTGCAATCGTGCACATCATGCACTGATAGCTTAATGCAGAAAATCCAATCCTTTGTGGTGCAGAAAGCTCTTGGAGCAATTTGTGGGTACAGATGTGTGCAGAAGTAGTGGGCCAGTGTGGGATAGAAGACCAGGATGAGCCCCTCTCCCACACTCCCAACACACCGATCTCCATCTGCCCTCCATTGCTCAGCTGGGGGGGCAGTGAGCATCCTCAGCCCTGCCACTGAGTGTGCTCCAGTGTGAGCTCCCCATGGAAGGTAAAACCGTGTTATCTCATCTAGCCCATGATTTAGGTTTCCCACCAAGAGCTCTTATTGACAGTTGAGAGCACGGGACCCACTCTGTAGGGCGGCAGCCATGCTTCTGCCTTCCTGCTGCTGCAAGCTTTTGTAAGAAGAAATAAATGGGAAATTTTATGTGGGGTGAGAAAAACAGAGACTAAAGCTGTGGAGAAACTTTGGAGATGTAGAGAAACTGAAAAAGTCAGACTTGTTCTGTCTGCTCACCAGAAATCATAAAATAGTTAGTAAGAGGACTGCAAGGCTATGGGGTCAGCCCTTGGAAAAATGTAAGTTTTCAAATTAGCCAAGAGATGTGGAATTTTTTGTTATTGGGTTTTTTTCACTTGTTAGATTGTTAACAAGAATAATTGTTCTAGCTACAGAGCAAGGGATTTAAACTAGATGACAAGTGAAGTCTTCTTTCCAGACAAGTCTTTCCAACAGATGTTAGTCAATGTTTACGGTCTTCTCTGTGTTCCTATTACAAATTCTTTCAATGATTTATGTCTGGAATTAGCTTAAAATTAACTTTTGTATACGAATGATGTGTTCACAGTGGAAAAAAATCTTTTGTGCTCCTTCAGAAACAGAGAATTTTCTGAAAGCCTGTCTGTTACAAATGATATATTTAACACTTCTTCACCATTACAAGTGTAGTCGCAAAGCTCCAGTTGTGCCAAAGATTTGGTATTCTTTGTGTCTGAACAAAGAAACCTGGAAGTTTGTTGGAACCAAATGATCTTTAAGATCCCTTCCAACCTATGCAGTTCTATGATTCTATGAAGCTCTCTGCACCTTCCCACTCTCCTTTTGCTCTTTGGGCATGAGTCCACCCAAAAGCTCTTCTAAAGAGACCAGTAGCAGTCAGACACACACATTCCTACCAACAGATGCTGTTTTTTTGGAAAACTTCATGTACTTCTTTTTCCATCTATATCCCACTTATGCAGGACCCACCCAGGGACAGTGGAGGGTTGGGAGCCAGGCTTTGTGCCACCTGACTTTTGTCCAAACTCCACTGTAATCCTCCTTGGGACTAGCTGTGAGATGATGAAAGGCAAGTGCAACAGGAGCTGTTAGCTACTGTCATTTTAATCTAGTTACATTTGCAACCAAAGCAGACAAAGCCAGCAGTATCCAACAGATGCCTGGAAATGCAAGTATTAGGAATGTACTTCCGAGCTGTAGAGGAGGAAAGTTGAAAGCCACAGAGGACAGTGAGAAGAGCAATAAAGAAGTGTACATATATATGTGTGTGTGTGTTTGCGCATGATCTCTGTGCCATTTCCATGTGCTTTGGGAAAGGAATGTCAGTGGCCTCAGTCAACAGATTTTCCATAAATTCCAACCTATAGACAGGAAATTAAAGCAAACAGACTTTTTCTCTAGAAATATCAGCACTTTGTGTGTCGAGAAAAGTCCAGTGGGTTAGAGTGCCAATCTCAGTGCTTTTTAAAGGAAAATATATTTCAAAGTGGAAATCAATGGACTGCAGAAAACTTTGAGATTAGGTTCAACTTTCCTTAACATTTCTCTTGTGAAGTGGGTGATCCATTTGTTCAGTAGAAACGGAGCTCCTAGAAAATTCATTTCCAATAATGTGTTTGAATGCAGGTAATGATGAGTACCTCCAAATCCCATTATTTCAGTGAACTTGTTAGAAATGGCACCAAAGAAATGAAAAAATTCTAAAAATTTGTAAACAGATTCAGAAATGTATAACATCAGTTTCCTGGCAACCATTCTTGCACAACTTGTAACCACATATGACCTATCTTTGCTGGGCATATGGAAACAATAAATACAGGCAGTTGAACTCCATCTGTTGCATATGGCCACTTTGCACAATCGTGAAGAAAAGTTATTTTTAACAGCAACATTTAGTCATGTGAAGAAAATAGTTCTGATTATGCAGAGGGTCTGTGTCGTAACACCATATGTTAATACAGACCCACATTGATTTTAAGAAACTAATGGATCACATAGAGGAAAGAGAGAGGAAGGAGTTTCTTTTATGTAAAAAAAAAAAAGGCTTGCAATTTTGAAATAAACCAAAGGTAGCATAACTGAACCCTCTATTGGGTTCAGTGCCACCCCACAGACAGAATTAACCGGGAGACCCTGATCCAAAGAGGGAGCTGCCAATAGGTGCTGTTCTCCTGTTTCTCATATTGGAATATTCTTGTTTTGTAGCCTTATTTATCTGAAACAAAGATGAATCATTACCTGTCGATCATCATGGATCCAGACGAAGTGCCCTTAGATGAGCAATGTGAACGTCTGCCTTACGACGCCAGCAAGTGGGAGATTGCACGGGAACGACTGAAGCTAGGTAATGCTGGCATTCTGCACATTGGTGTGTGGCTGCTGGGTGAGCTATGCGTGTGACCACGGGTGCTGGATGTGGTTTGGACATGCAGCACCATGTCCTACAGGCTCCCTGCAGAGCACCCCCTCCCCTGTGGCTGAATCACAGCAGGCTGTGCCTGTTTGACTCCTTGTTTCTATATTTTGAGGCTTACTGTAAATTTCTTCTCTGCTTACACGCTGAACTGGAAAATGACTATGCAGAAATTAGCCCTTCTAGCCTTCCCCTCCCAGCTGCTTCCTTTTCTCCTCTCTCCAGCCCATCGTCTCCGTTTTCCCTCTGTGCCGCAGATTTATAGACATTCTTGTCAGTGCACCATAAAGTGCAGGAATGTGACATACCAATCCACACACAAATAAATACCCTCACAAACCCTGAACCTGCAGCTCACTCGCCCCATTGTGAGGCACATGCTCAGGAGCATTATGTCCTTGCTGGCTGGAGCTGGCTGTGAGGTAGGAGGGTTGGGACCAGACTGCAGAGCTGAGAAGTCCCTCCAAAAACCACAGGGACTTTAGCAAGAGGGTCAATACTTTAAAAAAAAAATCAGCTGTAAACTCAGCCTGTTGCTATAGTGCTGTTTGTTCCTTCAGGCATGCATCAGGTGGGTCCTACAGCTGGGGCTAGTAAACCTCTGCATTCAGTAAAAGCCATGACAGACTCTTTTTGCCCCCTGGGGATCAGGGACTACAGATAATTAAAACATGAGTACAATTAGCACCATGCTTAATTCGCCTGATAGAAGGCACAAGGTGACCAGATGTGGATAAGTCATTTATTATTGTTTTACATAATTCTGGGAATGCTGAAACATAACCTTGCATTGGAGTGCCTTCAGTCTTCCAATAGTTTTCTTGCAATGATGGACCAAGATCTTGATGTGCGGACAGCATGATCTCTGCTTTATATGATGCTTTATTTGTGTGTAAATCCCATGGAAAGAATCAAGCAGAAATGGAATGTAAACACCGAGAAAAACCCACATCTTGCAGGGCTGGTGTTTGGAGTCTGGAGGTGAGGAATGATGGCCAGGGAACAAGCTAGAAGTGGAAGAACTGGTGTAAACAAATAAAGAATGCTGACAATGAATGAGAACCAGATTTGGTGAAGCCGGGTATGCACAGCATGCGGGATTATCTCAGTGCAAGCCCTGCTTACATGGCAGCTGGCTCAGCCTTTGAATACCTTGGCAGTCTCCAAGGATCAGCATCTCATGAGCAAAATATGCCTCTGTGGTTTTTTATAAACATTTTTACTTAGAAATGCAACTCCTTCAGCATCAGATATGTGTTTTTCTCTTTCCACCTACTTATCCTCAAAGATATGTGTTTGTTGCAGCAAGTCTCTGCTTTTAGCCCATGTCTCCTTTGCTTTGTGTTCCTCCAACACATACACACAGCCCACAGGTGTGATGCAGTGCTTGTGTGACAGGACTCCCTCTTCATGCACAGCAACATATGTTAGAGAAAATACCATATGGGCACCACAGAAATCAATATAATTAACATTCCATGTAGATTAGGCTGGCTGAGATCTAAATGTCATCTTTTCATTACCCAGAAGAGTGCTGGTGTTATAAATCACTTTCAGTGTAGTCGGTACAGTGCTGCATCAGCATAAATGCTGATCTTGGGCTCGACGCTCCTGATCTACCAGAGGTCAGACTCTGCCCCACTCTGCATGAAGTCAGGCACATGGCTCCCTGAGCCCTGTTCCCACCATGCCCCCAAACTCAGCTGCTGTGCCGGGCACACTGCTCCCATCCTCTGTGTGCCAAGCCCTTGTATTCACACAACGGAGAATAGGGAGCCACCAGCAGTGAAGCCCAGATGACTGAAACCACGACCAAGGACCTGAGCAATGAGCACATCTTTGAGCTTCTGCACTCATCCATGGAGCATGGAACTTGCAAGTGCCTTTTGCTGATTGTTCTGGTCCAGCTACTCATACACTTCGATATCCACACATCTTTTGAAGAACCTTATCAAGGTTGCATGGAAATAGAAACCTGCTGATCCTAAATTATTTGACTGAAAGGTCTGTTCACTTCAGTGAATTCTCAGTTCCACCAAGAAACTGAAGTCAGCTGGAGAAAATGTAAGGAGAGCACTGAGCTTCCTTGGTCTGTATGCGAATGCTGCAACGGTCATAGAACACACTGAACCTGGCCATGGAAGCTGCTGGAGGGCTGGGACAAGTTGGCCTCTCAGGTGGCTATCTTCATATTCTCCTGTTTAATTGCTCTGTATAACAATTTCATAATTACTGTGTGACAGCAGAAGGGGCTTTTGCAAGGACAATCTGTTAGTGTTACATTTATCCTTTATGCAGTGTACATAATCAACCACAGGTTTGAGCTATGCAGTGGATAGTCACAGAAGGCCTATTCTGTGCTAAGATTTAGCATGATATAAAACAATAGCAGAGTAACAAAGAGCAATACATTAAATGTTATAACCATTCCCCATTAAATCATAAATGCTGTTTAGAGAAGGATGTGGTTTCCAGTGGTCATTCTCCTTCATAAAATGTTGGCAGCTCTGCAGAGTGTTATAAGCCAACCTGTGTGTTTTCCAAGTAGTGACTACATGGGTTATCTTGATGTGGGAAGTGTTAACAGCAATGGAAACTGTTGAAGTTATGGATTAAATGAAGCTACAGCAGGTTTTACATCACCTCAATCTGCAGCCTCACCTGGTACAACCCATGAGCAGTCAGTACATTAAAGATGAACATCAATTCCCAAGAAAACAGACAACTTTGTCTTAACATTTCTTCCCTGATCTTTGTGCTGAATGAACTGTCTGCAGTAACTGGAACAGAAGTTGACCACAGATTTTCAAACACGTGCTGCTCCACTTGTATTTGTATATGAAACTCAGTGCCTTTCACACACCAAGGCTCACTCTGAGGGTGATTTTCAGCCATGTAGATGAAGTTCTTCATGGCTTTTATTTACTGTAAAAAAGCAACACTTTTGCACGTTGAAGGGGAAATAAATGTTAGAGGTTTTTTGACTTTGAGTATTCCACTTCATCTTTCCATTGCTTTAGTAACATATGCTGTTCGCCTTCTGTTCACTGAGAATTGCAGCTTAGAAATGCTGCACATGAAAAAGGTAGTATCTAGTTATCTTAGAACTAGAGGCAATTCTTTTTCTCTTCTTGTGAGTGTCTGGATGGGTTTGATTTCTCACAGCTATGGAGTCTCACAAGGTAGACATCCAAGTCAAAGCCACTCAGCAGCCCCCTTTGAAGTGATTCATCTCTTCTGCTTCAGGTGCCCATCACACAGAAAAGAGATTGCCTGTGAAAATGGCTGTGTCACAGGTGCACAGCTGAGAAATAAATGTGGCCTCAGAGTCACAGCTTTTCCTTTGTGGGTTTTTTAATTTTTGTTTTTTGTTTTTTGTGGAATGCTGGACTTCATTTTCTGCTCCTTTCTTGTGCTCGACAAAGCCTGCTGTTACACACTGGCTAGACATGTCGGTACCTGGATTCTGATGAAGGTAAAGCATAAATGCAGTCTAAGTGAATTGCCCGGCTGTAACATTCTTTACTAATGAATTGACTGACAAGATCTCGCTGATCAGAGCTGTCTGTGTGAGCATGGTATCAAAGTCAGTGCTGCCTGCCCCATACAGCAGTCATAAATGGGGCTGTGGAGATCGTGAGATCAGGAGTGTGTTTGGATGTGAAAGAAAAGGACCATCAGATATTACTGCTGGAGAATTTCATTTATGTTTACAGATTTCTTTCAAGGGCCCCTGGATTATTCTCCTAAGGTCTGCTCAGCACAACAGTGATACCATGCCACAAATGGCTGTTCTAGAAGCATCCTACCTACCATGAGACAACCTCACACTGTCTAAAAGTGGTAGGACAAGGGGCAGTGGCTTTAAACTAGAAGAGAAGAGACTTATGTTACTGTTAGGAGAAAATCCTTCACTCAGAGTGCAGTGAGGCGCTGGCACAGCTGCCCATGGAAGCTGTGGGTGCCCCCTGGAGGTACTCAAGGCCAGGCTGGATGGGCCCTGGGCAGCCTGAGCTGGTGGGTGGCAGCTGGCCCAAAGCAGGAAGTTTAACCAGATGAACTTTAAGGTCCCTTCCAACCCAAGCCATTCTATGATTCTGCATTTCTGTTATTCTATTGTTCTGTGATTCTATGAATAATTGTCACTTCTGGTCCCTTCCCACTGAATCTCACTGAACCCCTCCATATCTTATTTTGCAAATGGAAATGTCTAATTCGAAAAGCTTCTCAGCACCCTCCATTTATCTCGAGCTATGAGGTTTTACTAGGGGAGAGCATCCTGCACAGATATGCTCAAGAATGGGGGCAACAATTGGGCAGAGCTAGACTGAAACAATAGGGTCAGAAGACAGTGTTCATCCACGGAATGGTTGTATTCACCTAGCATCATGTTCAGTCGTTTTGCTTGTTCCCTACAGTGACTCTGTGTCTTCTGATTTGTCTAATTATGTTAAACAAACAAAAAACACTGAAAACGAAAAAAAAAAACCACCCAAACCACCAAACAATACCAAAACAACTCCACGTTATGTTAGGAATAGACATGCAGGACTCATTGTAAGGAACTTTTTTTTTTTTTTTTCCAATTCCTTATTTATCAATCCTTTAGCTGACAAAGTTTCTTCTTTACAAGAATGTCTCTCTCCAATCTATTTTCTTTTCAGGAAAGTCGCTTGGACATGGGGCCTTCGGGAAGGTGGTACAAGCATCTGCTTTTGGAATTAAGAAATCACCAACATGCAGAATTGTTGCTGTAAAAATGCTGAAAGGTATCTCGCTGCCAAGCTGGGCTGGAAGAAATTCTCTCTCTTTATCATATCATATTTCACTTTTAGTCTGATTCTGTTGAAAGCAAGATTGTGTGATGCTACCCTCTGCCCCTTACTGTCTGAAACATCCAAAATGTGCACATTCAGTTTCAAGGCCACCAGGATTTTCCATCCAAGTAGCAGAACTCTGAAATAATGATGTCCACAGTAGAAAAGATAATTTGTCATGTGGAACAGGAGAAAGTTTCAGGTGCATCAAGAACCCAATTGTCTGATTTTTCTAAAATCTTGTTCCACTACTTCAAAGAAAGAATAAAGTGACTTTTGTGGGATCAGAGTGGGGAACTACTGTGTATCTTGTGTTGAGCCATTATGCTGCATTGACCCTGCACTGAGCACAGTACATGGAATTTAGCTGAGCCATAAGGCATCTACCTTGATGTGAAGACACTTGGGTGGAAGCTTCCACATTATCCTTGGTCATTAGTTCTGATGATTAATCCTCTTGTTAAAAACAACTGCCTTGTACCTCATTTGCATCTGTCTGGCTTTAGCTTCTCGTTCTAACACTTTCTATTAGGATGGACCCAGCAGTTTTTCTACATGAAGGCCCTTCTATTAAGCTAAACAGATTGAGCAATTTAAACAGGTGTGCAGGTGTGTCCTCTCTGAGCCACCTGCATCCTCATTACATGGTGATAGGATGCTGATGCCCAGGCTGGGTGATGAGATTTCCATACACCAGTGCTCATCCCAAGGTGAAATCATCTCCCAGTCATTCTGTGCCATTTTTATCATTGGAGCAGGAAGGATAAAGACTCTAATCAATTTGAAGAGGGCATTGGGGAACCTGTGCAAGTGGCACCTGCTGCTCCTAACTCCAGGATTGTCCCCAAGGGGGAAATTTTTAGCTGACAAGGTTGCAAACCTCCCTCCTCTCTCTTGTTCAAAAAGCACAGAAAAGCCTTGTTGGCAATACCAAGGAGCAACTATCTTCCAGTAAGCATCTCTGGGAAATGGGAGGAAACTAAAACTTTGGTCCCTGTGCATAACTTCTGCAGTAGAGGGCCAGTAGCTGTCCATGTCACTGATTTCAGTGCAGGCCTGCCATCTGGGTCACTGCCTGGCCCTGGGTAACAGGTGTTTTGCCAACACACAGACAGATAAGTTCACTGAATATCCGGCAGTGGTTTGCCACATTCAGCATTTCTTTATGCACATCTACAGGCTTTTTGTGCCAGCCAGCACCATCAAAATAGCAGGTACTCCTAGAACAGGCGGGAGCAGTTGGCAGCTGCAAGAATCCTTCATGGTGGGATTCACAAATGCACATGCAGAGTAGGCTCTTGTTTCTGAGTTTGTCGCTCAAACTTCCTTTGTTGTCATTGATGAGAACAGTTCATCCTATCCTCAGGCAGATCCCTCAGTTTGCTGTTCTGGGCACTTATTTAGTTCTGTTGCTTGTGAATAGAGCCCATGGTGACGGTGTCCTCCTCAGGCCTCTTCACTTTTGGGCACTTTTCCCTAACTGAAGATAGGGAAGATCTGTCTCGTGCCCTGTGTCCTCACCTGATTATCCAGGAACTACGGAGGCATTCATGAGCTCTGTACATGCAGAATTCCCATGAGGTGGGATAGATGAACAGTGAGTTACTGATTAGATGATGAGTTTTGTGGGGGGTCACCAAGAAAATCTGCTTCCAAAACGATGTTGAAACCAAGCCCCTTAAGACCTGACTTGGGGTTTTTTCACCGGACAGTTCTCACTCTCGGCATCACTCAAGTTTTTTAGTCCTCTTGGGTCTATGAAAAACAACACTGTTTCTTTTTCCTTGTTTTCTTGCCCAAACAAAATTCTGCAGGAGAATACTGCTTGGATAGAATGAAACATTTTGCTCTACACTAAGTAGAAACTTTTATGTTTAGTTGTGAGATTTCCTACATCACTGCTGTTACTATTAAAATTGGTTATATTCAGAAAGAGTAAGATGTAGTCCACTAAGCTCAACCGTTTAAAATGTACGTGTCCAGTCTAAGTTAATACTCCAGGTTTCTTGTGTGATCAACAGATTCAGAGGAGCTTCTCCAAAAGGTGGTTCATCCCTTCCCTGAACAGGGGACAGCACTGATCAGCCTCTGGAAATGCCTTGCTTTTACCACTTGCTCCTTGGGAAGTTAACTAGTTCAGACTAATATATAACTGTTAGTTGGCTGAAGTCAGGTCAGCTAAAAAAGCTACTCTAGATGGAGTTAATTTTACTCTTGTAGCCTCTTTTTTTTTTTTTTTTTTTTTTTTTTTCATTATTTTTTTTTTTTTTTTTTTTTTTTTTTTTTTTTTGCATTCATTTTTTTGGCTGCAACTACAAAACATGTGAAAAATTCTTTCATTTCTAAATATATCAGAGTCTACTGGGAGGAAGTTGACTGCTTGACTTTTTTTATGGGTTTTGTTGCAATTCATAGGATGCTTGGCAGGGAGGAATAGAAATTAATATCAGCATGTGAAATGCATTTGTTAATAAAAGTTATTTCAGTGGAACATGACAGTAAGTGGTGAAGCTCACTGGGACCAATTCTTTGCCTTGTCAAATTGACCTTGTTTTGCATTTACAGAAGGGGCCACAGCGAGTGAGTACAAAGCACTGATGACTGAGCTCAAAATCCTGATCCACATTGGCCATCATCTGAATATTGTGAATTTGCTGGGAGCCTGCACAAAAAATGGAGGTAAAAAATGTGCACTGCATTGGAAATGGTTTGAACGATCTCCCATGGCAGTGTTGCTTTCCATCCAGAGGTCCAGTTATTAACTTGAAATACTGGAGCTCATCCTGTGCTCAGCGAGAAAAGAGGAAGAGAGAAAGAGATCTCCAGTTATTTGATGAAGTGATTATCCTTTTCCCTACTTAAACTCTCTTCGGGTGTTAACAGGAGAAGAGCAAATATAGGACCATGCTGAATAAGGAGCCACTTGTCGTCTTTTATCTCACCCACTGCAGTGCTACATCTCAGGTTAAACATGATCTGGACAGACTGGGATATCAGCTGTTTGCCCCGAGTGATGAGTCACAAGGGAACAATTGTGAAGTCCTTCATGATATTCCACTAGGAGAATCAAAGAGCCAGTGAGAGTGGCCATTTGTTTTAGATATGTCACCTATTTTAGTTCAGTGATGATGTGTGGGCTGCTGGACTCCAGTCTGAACTCAGACTGACCAAAGGGGAAACAGAGGGTCCCGCAGGACCCAGGGTCATGACACAGCACTCAAAATTAGGCCCATCCCTATTTTTCAGAAACTGTGCTGTTTTTGCTAGCATGTCCAGTGTCCTCCAAACAGCTTTCTACTTCTTTAGGACACGTGATATCTAAGGGTAGGAAAGACTCTTCATCTTCTCAGAACTAAAACTCTCACGTATTACTTTACGATGCTTAAAATGCACTTCCTTCTTTCCCAGGGCCTCTGATGGTGATTGTTGAATACTGCAAGTATGGGAATTTATCGAACTATCTGAAAAGCAAGAGGAATTTTTTCAGCCCCACCAAGGTAAGGAGGCAGATGCCTCAGGTAGGGTTCATCACATCCAGCGTGACAGGGATGCAGTTGTCAGCCTCTGCACTGGTCTCCTTAGCCTCTCTGATACCAAAGGAGAGAAACTGCTTTTGGATGCAGTTCACCTGACCAGCTTTGAATGTTTGATGCAGGATGTAACACATTAAGAAATGGCTCGTTTCTCCCCCTTGCCTATGCAAGGAGCCTGCTGTGATTAATGTGGAAGGAGCCATCTCCAGTGGGAGGAAGTGAATCCTATCCAAAATGTCCCCACATGCTCTTGCCCCTCTGCTGACAAACCCATTCCTGCTGAGCGTGCGGTCACTTTGGAGGCTCGTGTCAGTGAAGCTGAAGGAAGTGGTTTTGCCCAGTGATTTCAGCACTGCTGGGAACACAAACAAGATAATGCCATTTAGAGCCAATGTTCCAAGACATCCTAATGTTCAGAGATTCGACAATAATCTTCTTATTGTGTGAGGAGCAGTGCTACCCAGAGGAAAAGAGATTAAAGTCTTGTCCTCACATCTCACAGCCCTCTGAATCAAATCTGCTGCCTGCTTCTTATTACAAACCTGAACCTAAATGTGCCAACTATGTTCCTGACTGTACATCCAGCCAAATCCCCCAGAAGATTAAAAGATCTGAGGTGGCATTCAGGAACCTGACTCCAGAGCTGCAGTGCTCAAAATCCTTTTTCAGCCTTGCCAAGAGCTCAGAGGCATCTCATTATTTTTGACAAAGGTCCTGTGAATGCAACAGTAGAGCATGCTGAGGAGTAGCCCCCTCCAAAGGGCTTTGGCTGAGCCTCTTTTCCAAAGGGGGATGGAGCATGGCAGGGGAGAGAGATGGCCATGGAGGAGCCTGGCCATGCAGCTAGAGTGCTCTCCAGATTACAAAGAAAGCATTTTCCAAGCAGTGTTTTATGTGTCCCATTAAACTGCCACTGACTGTTGCATGAAAGCACTAGGTGAAGGAAAAAGACAACAGCTGTTCCTTCAGCAACTGTATTTCAAGTACTTTTGCTTCTTGTTGGAAACCTGGGCTTACAGCCTTGTGCCAAACACTGCTCAGAGGCAAGTCCTTCTGCAGCCTGAGAGCAAAAGCCAACACTAGTTTGGTAGGGCTGGGACATCTGCACTGTGTCATCTTCTTCTCAACTCAACCACCATGCTCCTTGTCTCCAAGTGGAAATTAAAGGTCCTTTCAGATGTCCTTAGGCTGAGAAGAGCCACAGTCCGGGGCAAGTGTCCACCCAATGCAATGCAAAACCCCACCACGTGGCGTTGGGTCCCTGCCCCAAGGGGAGATGAGACCACATGTGCCACGGGCGAGCATCTTCTCCTGGTGCAAACAAGAAGTGACTGGCTTCTCTCTTACTCCTCTGATGTTGTACCTCTTCTCTGCCTGTTTGAAGGACCCCTCTCTACAAGGAGAGCTGACGAAAGACAAAAAGGGTATCGAGGCAATGGAAGGCAAGAAACAAAGGCTGGCCAGTGTTACCAGCAGCGAGAGCTTTGCAAGCTCTGGGTTTCAGGAAGATAAAAGTCTGAGCGATGAGGAGGAGGACGAGGAGGGTAGGTATTAGTTCCTTCCTGTCCCTACATGGTCTGTGATATTTTTACAACATACTGTGCATCCCTGAAATTTTTTTCCTCATTTATCACCCTAATAAACATCCGTGGGAGACACTCACAGGGTCATGTCCAGAGGGTACAAGATTTAAAAAAAGATTATTTCCAGGGTTACTAAATCTGACAGGAAAATGTGTGATTGTTTCTTCTGACTGCTCCTTATCTTTGGGGAAAACACAGCAATGTCCAGAGTGTGGGGTATAAAGCAAGCACTATTTTTGTTTCCAGTGACAGTGGGCTGACCTTCAAATACGACTATGAAGACTGAATTTATGAGAGCAGTTTTATCAGTAAGAGAGGGGGAAAATAACTGCCTCACGAGTGATCTTTGCAACAAACTGTTTTCTACCTGTGCAGATGCTGCTGAGCTCTACAAGTTGCCCCTCACTATGGAGGACCTGATTTCATACAGCTTCCAAGTGGCCAGGGGCATGGAGTTCCTCTCCTCCAGAAAGGTGAGCTTTGCCCCGGGGACTTTTCCCTGCAGAAGGATGGGATATAGAGGTGAAATTATGTCTGTGTTTCAGAGACACCTTCCTTGGGAGAGGTCCCAAAGGAAGAGCCGTTTTCCTCTCAGCATTATAAATATAACGATGTGTTTATCCAAGTCTCCATAGTCCATAAACACAGGATCATGGCAGAAGGCAGTGGGTCAAGCTCATTCATTCAGAGACGATCTTTCAGGTGTGATTTTTTTTTCCTCAATTTCAACACACATCATGTAGGAGCCTGAGACCAATCTTCGTTTTCCTTGGAAACATCAAGAGGCTTAAAAATATATGACTTTTGGGACTTGAGAAATTTTATTTTTTTTTAAATAGAACTATCACTGTTTGCATCAATTTCATGTAACTATAGTTGACTTCCCTAAAAAAAAAAATATTAACTTGATCTCTCAAATAACATTATTTTTAAAAAGGATATGGGAGACAGTCAGGAAATTTGTGGGCAGGATTAAGGAAATGCAGCTTGATTGTGAAACTGTTTTATTATAGTGCATTCATCGTGACCTGGCAGCCAGAAACGTCCTTTTATCTGAGAACAATGTAGTGAAGATCTGTGATTTTGGCCTCGCAAGAGATATTTATAAGAATCCTGATTATGTGAGAAAAGGAGATGTAAGTCAAGATGCTGTTTCTTTATCCAAATGCTTATAATACCATTTCAAATTGTCCACCAGAACGTTCTGAAGATGTTCACATTTCCTGAACTTAAAAGAGCTCGAAAGCCATCACGTTTTTATGCAAATGTGATGTGGCATATATCAGAAAGCAGGTCTGTCCTCAAGCAGCACGCTCCGGCGCTGCAACTAGCTCATAGCTCTTGTTTGATAGTACTTCTGACGTTTGTCTCCTGGCTAGCTCTTCAGTGTGACACCTGTGCCCAGTGACTTTCCTTCAAGGAAACCAGTCCTCCCAAAACAAGGCTCTCCTCCTGCATGTCTCACCTATCTGCCAGCTGTACCCTCACTTGGAAGTAGCTTTCAAATCTGACAGCACTATGTATTAGCTGTGAAACTTTATTCACGTGGCTTGAGGACCACTCAGGAGGCACTAACAGGCTGTGCTGAGGGGCTCCGTGGGTGCAGTATCTGAAAACTTTCCCAAGAACATCTCCAACACCAACACCAAGTGATTTGTCTTTGGCCACGGGGTTCTCTCCCCTGTCTTTAGGATGCCTGTAAGGAAATCCCACAGGTTCCTGTTTGAATAGCAGTTATTTACGTGACAATATATAGTTGCAATATATAGGTTATTCATCTAGGATTAAATTCTTTTGAGTCTCTGAAAATAATAGTCAGGTCTGTCCACTTCATTCCAGGCTCGACTTCCTCTCAAGTGGATGGCTCCAGAATCCATCTTTGATAAAATCTACAACACCAAAAGCGATGTGTGGTCCTACGGGGTGTTGCTGTGGGAGATATTTTCCTTGGGTACGTTAAACCTGCTCCTGGGATTGGGAAGGGGCCAAGAAGAGGCTGCCAGAGTGACACCTGTGTGTCATGTCAGCCATGAGTCTTTAATAAGGAAAAACTGAAATCAGACAAAGGTGGGAAGCAGACATAGAGAATTGTGCACATCATGCCTCTGAGAAATGGAATTCTTTGTGTCTGTAAAGGCATCAGCAAGGAAGCAAACAAGACGTAATGGCCTTAAGTTGCACCAGGGAAGGTTCAGACTGGATATTAGGAAAAATTTCTTCTCAGAGTGGTGAGGTATTGGAATAGGCTGCCCTAGGAGGTGGTGTTCCACCATCTCTGGAGGTGTGAGTGTGGCATTGAAGGGCATGGTTAGTGGGCATGGTAGGGATAGATTGGTAGTTGGAGTAGATGATCTTATTGGTCTTCTCCAACTTTAATGATTCTATGATTCCAAGAGAGCTGACTTGCAGGAAGGTTAGCACGGCTATCAGAGCACTTCTCTTTCTGCCACGTCCAAACCCCAGGTTTCCCTCAATTTCTCGAAACATATGAGACCTGCACATGGTGGAGAGGGTCAAACATAGTGTCATGAAGATGCCAAAGAGCCTGGAGCACCTCTCTTGTGAGGACAGACTGAAAGCGCTGGAACTGCTCAGCCTGGAGAATAAAAGGCTCTGGGCAATCTCCTCAATGCCTATAAATACCTGAAGGGAACCCACTGCCAGCACAGCAGCCTCCTCAGGTGCACACATCCACACAGATCCTGCAGGATAAACTGAAGCATGCATTCTAACATGAACATCCTTTGAGGCTTTCTTCTTCATTCTTTCTTCTTTTTTGTTTTTCCCATACTGAAAACAGAGGATACAAAACACACGCTGCAAGGGAATAACAATGACCTTCATAACAGAAGAATCTTAATTGGGTTTAAAACAGAGACTGACAAATGAGGAGAACAGCAGAGAAATAATAAGATACAATTAGCAGGACAAACAATCATTTATTACTTTAATACACTTGCTGGTTTGCCTGCCAACTAGTGTCATTTTATGGTCAACTGCACAGTACCTGCTGCTTTTTCCTAAAAGCCCCAGCTCCTGGAACCCAGTGACTGGCTCTCAGAGGGGGCTTTTTTTCTTTTATTTCCCCTTTTCCTGATGCCGTCTTTTCTCCAGGAAAGAGAAAAATAAAATACCATGAGCAGCAGCAGGCTGTACCTTAAAACCACAGAAACTGGAGAAGCAATGCAAATGTGCTGTCATCTGATTTTAAGTTACAATTTTAGTACTCTCAAGGTAGTTTCGAGCATTTGGATCTTATTAACTAACTAGAATTTGGGGTGATCCAAACCACAGAGAGATCAGACTTATCTTTTCCTAAGGGATTCTTCTCAAGTCAAATTCATGTTTATCTTCTTGCATTCAGGTCAGGTGAACACCACCAACAGCCCTGGGTTTGACCCTGCTACCTTGCAAGTAACAGGACTTTAGCATCATCATCAGTTCTTCATCACTGTTCTCCATGCCCTGTGCCCTGCAGGCAGATGCTGCACACTCAAGTGCTTGGGTGTCCTTGCAGGGATGGGGACTACAATTTGCATGTCATACACCAGGAGAGCTGAGTCCTCATGCGCAGAGACAATTCCCCTCCTACCTCAGAGATGGCTGGATGGATGGATGGATGGATGGATGGATGGATGGATGGATGGATGGAATGGATGATTATGGATGGTTGGATGGATGGGTGGAAGGATATGGATGGATAAATGAATGCAATCATGGATGATTCTCTTCTCTCACTGTTGCCCCAGGTGCCTCTCCGTACCCTGGAGTCCAAATAGATGAGGACTTCTGCAGCAAACTAAAGGAAGGCACAAGGATGCGTGCCCCAGAGCAAGCCACCGAGGAGATGTAAGATGCCTTTTTCTACTTGCCCTGCATCCCTCCACCCTCTGGGGCTGCCTTGCAACATTAATAATGTATAAACTTCTGCAAAAAAGCACCCCACAGAAACACAGAAAATTAATGGTCTCATATCTTCTTGTTGCCCTGGCCATCTTCTTGGCCTTCCTATGGGGCAGTGTGGATGAACTGCACAATGACCCTGAGAGGGCCACTCATGGTGGGATGTGGGGCCAAGGCCAGGGGTGCACAGTGTGCGAAGGCAGGGTCAGTTCCTTAGTGTCCATCCTCCAGTGCAGCCAGGACAGCACGCAGCCTCGGCTCGCCTGGGCAGAAGAAGGAAGGTCACCCATTCCCATCCAGGTTTAGCATTTACTGACGTGCGCACAGATAAGTGCTGGAGGAATGTGACATTAGGAACATTTTCTGAACTTCGGAAGCAGCAGTAGAAGTTTCCTTGCAAACATGCCACTGGTGAGGGCCCACCCTTTCCTGGAGCCACTGTCTGGTGGCAGAGGAAGGTGACGGGGACCGTAGCTTCCCAGCCATGTTCAGCCTCCATCAGCTCCTGCCGCCAGCTGCTGCTACACAGCATTCCTGGAAGCTAGGGATCAGCTGAGGCCCCAGGTCTGCAGACCCCCAGCAGGGAGTGCCCTACCCTCATCTGCTCCCATGAGAGTGAACTGCAGCGCATTAAACACGCACCTCATGGGGTATATCACTTAGGAGCACAAGTATCCAGGGTATTTTGCCCTCCAGACATGTCCTCAGTGCCTTTTTGGGTGTTGCATCATGACTCAAAATAGCAGCACTTGCCAAAAAATAGTTCTGGGAGCAGCAAAAGGATGCAAGCCAGCCACATCTATCTGGAAGCATTAACCATTGGCTAATTTTATTATCCCAGTGACAGTGCTCTTCCACATATTTTATTGCAGGAAGGAAAGCTTGGCTCAGCCAACACAAGGAAGTGACACATTCATATAAGTCATCTAAGGATGCCTTAACTTAAACATTGCCAGTTAATAGGTGTTTTATTCAAAGGCTTAATGAAAGGTTTAGGGATAGAAAAAAGAAAGTATGACTACTGGGCTAAATTATTCAGTTGATGGCGTCTTCCTGGTGTCCTGTGGGAAGAAATCCTTCGCCTCTTTTTTTGGAAAGCTCACTTCTTTAGTAATAGGTCCTGGCAAGTGATGGACAGTGCCTTCATGAAATTGCGTGGGCTCAGGAGTTAACTCCATCGATGAGAAGCTTTTGGAGCCTGTGCTGCCTCGCGTTAAAGGAAGCCCTAACCCTCCATATGCTCCTTTTGCCCTCACAGTTACCAAATCATGCTGGACTGCTGGCGGAGCAACCCCAACGAGCGGCCGCGGTTCTCGGAGCTGGTGAAGCGGCTGGGTGACCTGCTGCAGGCCAGTGTGCAACAGGTACATGGGAGCCCATGGGATGCTACCCGGCCTGTGTCCACAGGGGTAACGCTGCCCTTTCCTGCCCACTTTTAGGAAGGCAAGGACTACATCCCCCTCAACACTATCTTCACAACTGAAAGTGGGCTTCCCCCTGCATCTGATCCTTTGTGCAATGAGAAGTTTCCTGTTCCAAGCCCAAGCTGCCGAAGCACGGAAAGAGTGAGGTGAGATACGCAGGATTAAGAGTGTGCTTTGGGTGGTCTGTTGGGTGTTGCAGCTTGCTGCGCAGCACGGCTAGGCCCTGAGCAGGAGAAATCCCTGAACACAGCCTGAGCTTCCAGCAGCTTTGCCATCTGGGCAGCCCTGAGGTCTCCTTTTGCAAACCACTATGGTGGCTGCTAACCAGATAGAGAAAGAAACATTGAAAAGAAAAACAGCAGTTCTGCTTGGGCACTTCACACTCTCTTACCCAAAGCTGTTCTTTTTTTGCTCAACAGATACATAAATACTTTCAAAATAAAGCCACCCCAGCGCATAAAGACATTTGAAGAGCTTCCCATCAAGGAAACATTTGTATTTAATGTAAGTGACACTTGGCAAAACAATAAGCAACTGATTTCTTTTTATTTGCATGGCAGATACATACAAAGACAATCAAGGAGTTGTACTGCTTTGCAAGCTTTACTGGCAGGAGGTGCAGAATCAGCTCTGTTTGCAGCAAGCACTCCCTGCCTGATCTGGCTGTTGGCAGCAGCCCTGCCTGGATCCCACTGGAATGGGACTGCTGCTTAAAATCCTTTGGATTTGTGTTTCTGTTTGAATATTAGTGCAGAAGTGAGACTTGGGGGTCGTGCTTCCTGCGCAGATCACCAGAATGAACCAATTCTGGTATGAAGCTGACAAGCTGGGTACATGTCTATTGACAGGACATGTGCACTGTACTGCTCAAGTGAGTGGGCAGTTTTAGTAATACAGACAAAATATACACATTTAGTGATGGAAGGTGGAAAAGGCTCTCATGGCTGATCTGGTGGCTGGCCAGACTCTTACCTTGCTTACAGGCATCTTTCTTTTATCACTCTGTACCTGCATTAATAGCATGTGTATGTGTTCACTGCACCCTACAATGAGGACAGTTTGGAAAAGAAACAAGAAAACTTATTAAAGAGGAATCAAGCCTGGCAGTTTCTTACAGCTAACAACTAATAGGTTTCTGTTTTCTTCAAGGACTACCAAGCAGACAGCGGGATGGTGCTGGCCTCAGAAGAACTGAAGCGCTTCACGTGGACAGGCAGCAAGCAGAAGTGGACACTCTTTGGGTCTGTATTTTATACTCCCTTCTGCTTTATGTTAGAGGTCAGAGGAGGAATCAAGGTCCTTGTGCTGAATCAGGCCTAATGAAATCAGCTGTGGTGTGCCCAGGCCCTGCCAATGCTCCTTGCAGAAGAGGACTGCAGTGGAAAGGGACCTCTGGATGTGACCTGGCCCAACCCCTGCGTAAGCAGTTGGGTCAAGAGTCAATCAGCTCCCACACCCTGCCCTCCTCAGAGGAACAAACAGCCCTCAGCCCCTTCCATATCCATCGCCCTTAGGATCAGTTAGCACTTTGACCATCAGCTCCGTGCCAGGCTGGGCAGGCACGTGCCACGGAGGCAGAGGCTACAGGAAACCAGCCCTTGGTGAGGGGGAGGAGGAACACATAGATGAGGAGGAGTTGCGGTCTTTCCTGCGTGTCCCCAAGGGCACCCGAGCCGGGACAAGGCTCCCATTGCTGCCCTTGTTTTACATGAGTCAGCTAAGCACGGTCCATTTAACACCCATGGGCTCAGGATGCTAAAGAGGCAACTTTACAATAGATGGATGTGAGGGCCTCATTTCTCTTCCTGCCTTTAAGCACTGTAATATACTGGCCACCTTCCTCCACCTAATTCCTGAGAGCTGCCCAAGCAGGGAGTGAGTGCTGTGTTAAGCACCGCACTGTACCAGCACCAACGCTTATTTCTCAGTGCTGGCAGTGCCTGCAGCTGGTTCCAGCTCTCTACTCACAGCCAGCCCAAGCCTACCCTGGGCCCACCGAGCTGGCAGCAGGACGAGGCTGAGGAAGGCCCAGGTCTACCTTGGCAGGAGGTCAAGGCCAGCCTGGCCACGCTGGGCCAGTCACCATCTCTGCGCCAGGCAGCCTGGTATTGTCTCAGCAAACAATTGCAGCAGCTGAAACCAAGGTGGGGAGGTTGTGCTTTGAGAAAAACTCCAGTGACCAAGAGGGCAGTGCTTAAGCACACAGATACACAGGGGTGGGAGCACGCAGGCAGGCCTGCTTGCACAGCCAAAACACACAGCTCCTTGCAGGCGCTGCTCTCAGTCCTACAGCCAACACCGTGGCCTCCCCAGTCAAAATGCACACAATGCTTCTTCCTCTGGGTGGCACAAGCAGGATGGAGCATGCCTAGCCTTTGCTCTGGAATGGCTTTAAGGAGCCTGTTTGGCTCCATAAGGAAAAAATGCTGGGGTAGGAAAAAAATGGAACTTGGCATGCCTGCTAGAATACAAATCCTCGGGGAACAGAGCAGTTGGCTGAGAACACACAAGGTCATCTGGCTGCAAGCTAAACAAGCATTGCTGCAGCATTACACCTGAAAAGCATTCACGTATGCTAACAGCAACCCCTTGGTGTGCACACATTCCTAAAAGTGTCAGCTTTTTAGCTAAGCATCTTTTACTTAGGTGAAGCTGGAGCAGTACATACATACCTCTAAACACAGCACTGAATACTGGACAAGATAGAGCTTGTAGACATCCACACATGTAAGCTGATCTAACTCAATAGCGCTACCTCTTCCTGTGCACCTCAAGTGTCCTGCTCTGTGCTCCTGCCCTCTTTGTTCTGCTTGCTTTGCCTTGTAGTGAGCTGGTTGAGGTTGCTGGATTATCAGAAGGATGACCCTGAAATAAACCCGGAAAGCAGGAACAGCTCACAGCCAGGGCAGCTGGTGCCAGCTCCAGGATGAGGAAGGTCTCAGCCCTGACCACATTCACTGCAATGCCTGGCCAGAATTGGAGCACTCCTCATCCCTTTCCATCCACCTCAATGCTGGAATTTGGGATGCAGATGCAGACCAACACAGGAGGAGCAATGTCCTCGTTCACCCCATCTCAGCACAGGACAGGAGCATCTCCCCAAGCTCTGATGAGCCTTTCAGGCCCAGGTGGTGGCAGGGAGCCCAACTACTGACACGGCTGTCACATGCCCTGGACTTGCTATTGGCAATAAGGTGAAAACAGGTGTTAATGCAAACAGTGGGAAAAATCTTTCCAGTTCCTCAAGTTACGAGATCCCAACGGACAGGTCTAGGGGCAAAGACAGAGCAGTACTCTGAGGCCCATTTCTTTGCAAGTGGGCAGAATCTCAGCTGCACCTCTCTTCTGGCTTTTCAGTATTGGTGAAAAAGGCCAACCCACGTAAGCCAAAATTCTGAGGGTGGAGCAAGCCCCCAAGTCAAAGCAAATTTCTAAGCCAGAAAAATAACCAAGAACATAATTTTTGAGTTGGAACAAGCATCTCAAAAGCCACAGTCAAACTCCTACTTCACTGAGATCCTGAATGCAGGCTGACAGGGAAAAAGCAGCCATTCCTTCCAACAAACAATCTCAATTAAAATCCAAGTAGATATTTTCTAATTTACATTCCCACTGTGGAAGCACCTCAAAGCAAAAGAAAGCCTTTGTTGGCTATAAGCTCTGTTTCAGTACAAAGCCAGACCACAGATGCCCAACTCTGCAGGCTCTCAGAGCACTCTGTGGGAGCCCAGGTACACCAGTGCACTCAAGGTAAAACAAACAGATGCACTCTACTGGTACAAAGGTTGGTCAGTTAGCTTCAGTAGAGGCTGAGTGTAGCACTGAAGCTTCCTTTATTTTAGCTCACAATATTACTTCAGGCCTTCCAGTCAGCCTTGAGATACGAGGTATTGTTTGTTAAAGCATTAATCTCTCTGAATAAGCTAGGGCTACAGCAACAAAACATTATGATGTGTGGCTGCAAGAAAAATCAGGTTCACAGGATGCAAAGCCTGGTGAGGAATAAGAGGATCCAAGTGATTTTAAGGCTCATAAGTTAGCATGCACACTGCACTTCTGCCAGCCCATTGCTCCTTAAGACTCAGCAATTACATTGTGACTCACTGAAGCATTTCTTTGCGAAACCATTTTAAAAGTCCATCGAGGCTGTGACTAACCTTGTCACATAGCTGAGGAATTTGTTTCAAAGCACTTGTCCATCTGCCAACAGACGCAATGTGAAAACATGCGATGCATCTGCAATACTCATCATGAAGACTCCTCATGAACTCCATCCACCTACCAACAAACATGGAGCGGTCTGATTGGGAGGACCCTCCAAGCTTCATACTGTACAGACCTCACTCTTGACAAAACATATGGGCTTGTGAGCTAAAGATCCAAGAAAGCATGAAATCTAAGGGAAGGTGGTACTTCTCCGATTCCTGGTCAGGAAGGGCCCTGGGCTAATCATACTGTACTTATATTGAACATCTAAAGTGCCAGTTAAAAGTAAAATCCTGGGTTCTCAAAGTCTTAACAGATGTTCTGTTTTACATGGAATTCAAGAGTTGGACCGTCTAAAAGAAGAGAGCCAAAGCACCCGTGAACTTATAAACATGAGGGAGAGAGAATCTAATTTCAGGCATTATGGTCCAACATAGGTTTAACTTGGGATTTCACATTTAATCAGTGATGGAAAGTGTCCTGGCTTGTTGTGCCTACAGGTAAAGCTTCGGCGTCTAAGTTCAATAGCGTGAAACTTCTCCCTGCCTTAAGTTTGTTCCTCATTTGAAAGAACCTTTTAAGCTTGGAACTCTAAGAATCAGGGCAAGAAAGTGCTGTGAGGCAAACAGCATCTCAAGCAGCGGCGCATCTAGGAAGACATTAAGCCTTCTCTTCTAAAGGGCATTGTATAAAAGGCAGCCTACTGGATAACCAGTTCTTTGTGGGACATGAATGCCTTAAATAAAAACCAGCAGTCTGTATTCGCTGCTGAGAGCGGGTAGAGATAGGAGACACCCAGCTCTTTTGCCCTTCCTCAAAAGTACTGGCCACTTGTCTTAAAAACTCATTGTATTGGCTCTGGATACGTCTAAGCTGGCAGCTTTCTGCTTTTATCATGCAGCTTGAGACCTTTCACTACTTCACTCCTCCTGCTCAATCTTCTCTTATAAAGGACGGAGACCCTCCCAGCACCCACAGTTCAGCAGGCAGACACTGCGCACTACTTTGCCCCACAATGACGTTTCGCTCTCCAGCAACAGTCACAAATGAACAACAGAACTTAGGGCTAACGCTCAGATATTTCCCCGTATGCACCAAGATTAATACATACAATGAGCACAGTCACTTTAATGAAGATGTTTGGTCACAGCATCTCTGCTTATAAGGGAACTGAATGGGGACACAGAAGGGCTCTTTGAGTCCTCTGCTCTGCTGCCCCACTAAGCAATCCCATCTGCATCAATGCTGTTTCTCTGATTATAAAGCTGTTTCCTGTAGTGTGTCTTTGCTTAAGTCATCGTAACAAATGCTGGTACATGTTAAATGTGCTAACAACGATGCTGCTCTATTTCAGCGTGAAAGGCGTCAGCAGGAGCAAGGAGTCAGGGCTTTCTGGAATAGCAAAGCCGAGAAGCTTCTGCAGTTTCAGTTGTGACCAACTCAGCGACTCCAAGAGAAGATACACTCACGGAAACACAGTGCTGGAGAAAATGAAAGCGTGCCACTCTCCCCCTCCTGACTACAGCTCAGTAGTCCATCACTCCCAGCCATCCATTTAAGTGTTTCCGAGCTAAGATTTATGTAGCTTGCTCTTAAGGTAATGCCTCCTATTCTTTTTTTTCTTTCATGGAAACTACAACAGACACAATGAGAACAATAACAGTATTTGGTACAGCAAATTCTCAGCTACAAAATGTTATTTTTCAATACAGTCATCACCACTGGTCAATTCATGTGGATGAGCTGGTCGAGACTCTTCATTTTGCGGTGTGACAGCTGTGCAAGGCCATCTGGATGATGCCTTCTCTTTCATGTCTCTGTCACCACTGCCAAAATGCACCACCCACTGCTTCCCTGTGCTCACATCCACTGTCTGATCTCCATAAATGTTCAGCAAGCTTCTATGAATGTCAGTGGGTGCCGTTTTTTCTGCATGGAGGAACTCCATGGCACCTTTGCGTTATACACACTTTTAAGTCAGATGCCGTCCTGTCAGACTGCCCCTGTGCTGCCATCTGTCACACCACAATACATATCAGAATATTGCTGGGAAGGTTCAACCTCTGCTGCCATACCACCAACACTCGTCTCTGATGCCACGGACCAGCGTGATAAAATAGGAGGCATTACTTTTAGAGCAGTCCTCATAACATGCATTTTTAAAAAAGATTTCTCTAAAATAATGTCAGTTTAGACATGTTAACCCCAGTAATTTTAATTATGCTAAAATTTAAGAGGATATCACTGACAATCTAAGTGATCTTTGTTTCTACAGACCACTATATACATGTACAAAACATAGCAAAATACTGCTTAGGCCTTGACTTTCCTAATGCTGAACAGCAATAGCTGTAATAACTTTCCCAGTGCTTCTGACAACCAGAACAGTCATCATTACAAACAAAACAAGTTCACGGTTGGTCCCTTGGCAGCAGAGGGGCACGCAATGCTGCACTAATCCAGCCTCCAGTTGGGAGAGGCAGCTGGGGGGAGTCCATAGCATAAAGCATCTTGGAATTTGCACCCTATTGCTTGGGTCTATAGTGAGGCTATCTGTGTAGGGTTGAAAAGTGAAGGATGCTCTGAGAACAACAAGAAGCAGATCATACACTACTTTGAGATCCTCTGGGGAAGGCCATTCCTCTGAATGAGTCAGATTGGGATGAGACACCACACGTCTTACTGCTCCAGAGGACAAAAGAGGGAGGGAGTCTTGCAAAGCAAGAATTTCAAAACACAGTTTGCAAGGATACAAAAGACCTAAGATCAAAGCCAGTTCTATGATAAGAGGGAACGCAGATCAACTCAGTTTGGTCAATCCTACTGGAACCAGGTAAATTTTCCTGAAGTTTTGCACTTTGTCAATGTGCCAACATACACACACTGGAAACAAACAAGATACACTAAAGCCAAGCTCTGTCTGTGAAATCTAATGGCCTTTCTAACACTGCACTGAGTATATTTTGTTTATGGGACTCTGTCTGAAAAAGACACTATGGCTACTAAACTGCACATACTTAAAGCAAAGTATTAATTTCTAGAGAGTGCCTAGAGTGCAATGGGATTGTTTAGAAGTGACACGGCAATCTGTTTAGAGAGTTAGGGCAGCTTTTTTTTTTAATGAAGGCAGTTGAATTTCTAGGTTAGTTAATAGTATATATGTACAGGAATAAAAATGCATCATTGATTTATAACAGATTTTTGTATAGCATCTCAGAAAGGACGTGAATGTTCCCTCTTCAAGGTGCATAGGGATGTACTACCCCCTTTTATCTTTGAATTCAGTGTTAACAAGGATTTGGCCATTTAACAGCAATGAATCATTGAAAATGTTACATAGGATTCTGATCTCTTGAGTCAGTTTAAGAACTGTGAACTTAACCCATTAACAGACCTAAAGGCAAATGATCTTTTGTATATTTACAAAGGAAAATGATCTCGTGTATGCAAGTAAAAGAAATATGTATTGCTACTTCTAAACTGTACCTCAGTTCCAGTTCCTCCTTCCCAAAAGATCACCAGTTTTAAATACAAACTATTGCACCACCTCTTTCTGGTAAAAATAAAAAATAAATTCAGAAAACAATTTCTTAAGTCCAGTTCAGCAAAAAAATTAACTATGGGATAATGCACCTCTGAAGTGTTTGCACAATGTAAATATATAAATATGCTTTTTCTGCATAAATATTTAAGAAAACTGATCTACAAAGATTACTTTTATATGAATCCCCTAAGTTTCTGTGATGTGAATAACTCATATTTTATCTTGCATTTTCTGTCTTCGCATAGCACATTCGAACACTAAATTCATGCAATAAAGTTTGCTTTTTGGAAGAATCTACCAAATCAGTTAATCCTGCATCAGAAATTACTGCAACAGATGGCTCAGCGCTGAGCAGCACTAAAACACCAAATGCACCAGTCTTGTGAGCAAATAGGAACATGGAGCAATGGCACAGACAGCACGCTCCACACAACAAACTTGACACAGTGACAGACACCTGTACTCCTTCCTTGTGCCAGAGAAATCCACTCACCTCTGCGTATCTAAGAAATGCTTACTGCTGTCTGGAGACAAAAACTCAACTCTGCCTCCAAGAAAGCCACTGTTTCACTGCGGGGGGAGACAAATCAGCCCAGTGATAAATATTCCTTAACAGTCCCCATTCTGCTCACACAAAGCTAGTTGTCACCAACAAAGCCTGTTCTGAACTGGCAGTGTCACAAGCTAGCAGCTCAGGCCCAGTAGCTGTTCACTCGTGCAGAAAACCTCCAAATCCCCACCCCAGATGCACAGCCCAGAGAAGCTGCCTCTACTTAGGTGTCTATCAAAGGCTCTCTGCCATATTTTATGACTTAACTGCATCTCCAAGCCATGCTGAAAGGAGGTTGACATGATATCTTCTCCAGAGACACAGAACACAGTGGTGTTACCTACAGCTGTAGGATGCTCTGCAGCTCTTGCTGCACATTACTAAGAAAAGCTACAGGACAAGAGCTCCCACTGAACTTAGCACAGCCTTAGTTTTAAATCATAGAATGACTTGGGTTGTAAGCCCATCAAGTTGGATCATCTAGTCCCCTCCCCCCCACCACAGGCAGGGTTGCCAACCACTAAATCAGACACTAGCCCAGCCCCCATCCAACCTGGCCTTGAACACCTCCAGGGAAGGATGGGGCATCCACAGCTTCTCTGGGCAGCCTGTGCCAGCACTTCACCACTTTGTCAATGAATAACTTCCCCTGACATCAAACTATAAGAGGGGAGATTTAGATTAAAAACCATTCCCTTTTGTCCTATCACCATCTTCTCCCATAAACAGTTGATCTCCCTCCTCCTTATAAGCTTCCCTTAAGTAACGGAAGGCCACTAGGGCACCCACATTCACCTTGGCAGGGATGCTCAATAAACTGTACTCCCAGGAACTCATCCCTCTGGACATCATCCCTTCCTTCTGCCATACCAGCTGCACCACTCAGCTTGGTGTCATCAACAAATTTGCTGAGAGCACACTCAATCCCATCATCTGTGTCACTGATAAATATTTTAAAGAGTACCAATCCTACGATGGACCCCTGGGGGACACCTCTCACTGGCCTGGACACAGAGCCAGTGACAACAATCCTCCATCCAAGATCATCCAATAAATTCCTTATCTGCTGATCAATGCAACCTTCAAATCCATCTCTCTCCAATTTAGAGATTGATGGGGGACCATGTCAAAGGCCTTGAAGAAGTCCAAGTAAATGGCATCACTTGCTTTCCCTTTATCCATCAGTGCCATCATTCCATCACAGACGGCCACGAGGTTGGTCAGACATGACCTTCCCCTGTTGAAGCCATGCTGGCTGTCTCAGATCACATGCTCCTCCCTCATGTGCTTTAACAACTCTTTAAGGAGGGTCTGCTCCTAGATATTTCCAAGCACGGAGGTGAGGCTCACCAGCCTGTAGTTCCCCAGATCCAACTTTCTCCCTTTCTTAAAAATGCAAGTGATACGTTTACCTTTTTCCAGTCACCAGGGACACTGTATGATAGCCAGACTTTTCAAATACGATGGAGAGAGGCCTGGCAATGAAGTCTCCATACAAAAAAATTTCTAGAAACAGTGCAATTTAAGGGATAAGAACTCCTTACTAAATGAATACTAATTACCTACTATTTCATATATATTGCACAAAGTTTCATGTTACATAAGCATAGTCAGGACTCGAGTAAGTTCTTCTACATCAATCCAAAAGTCATCTCACCACTGCATGTTAACAGCATAGAAAAGAAATCCTGTTAAATGAAGCTGCCAATTACTTGACATGCAAATTCTCAAGAAAAAATAATATATTTGCTACTGAGTTGACTCAGAGTTGAGGAAGTGTGTATTAGTGTGACTTGGGTAATCAGCATCTGTATGTTTTAGGATAACTCATGCACTCCAAGTGGCAAACACTAAAAACTATTTGTGAATCACAGCTGTTTGAGCTTTGCACTGGAAACAAAACACAGAAGAAATATGGCTGAACAGAATACAGTTCCAGCGGAAGAGCTGAAAAGCTGCATATCCAAATACTTCAATACTTCACATTGTCAAAAAAAGGCCACGTTGTTTCTGGTATTCTTTATTAAAAATACTGCTGTACACATGAAGAATGAAAACAGGATTAAAGATGAGTAACACATATTGGGATCATGACATCAGAACTTAACATACTGGTGCTTTTTAGGGGAAGGAGTTGACACCTGAATTACTGAACCAAGGGCAAATCAAAAAATATATAGATACCCCTCAACAAAATATTTACAATATAGTAAATACAGCAACAGAATTTAAAACCAGTACAAAAATTAAAATGACCAACATCACATGATTTCAAAGGTTGCCCCGTCTGTGCTTTTAGCTGTAAGAATAGAAAGGTTAGAATTAAATTTCCCATCTAGAAGGACACATCCTGGTGGCTCTTCTTTATAAATACAGACATATAATTCTTCCTATGAATGGACTGAACTAGAACTTTAGGACAACCTTCTAAATGGAATTAAAATGGGGCAGAAGGGCTCTCCCCCAAAAAACACCCAAGCTAAACTTCAGACTGTTTAAATCATTCCCAAATACAAACCAAATGAAATAAATAGGAAAAAAAAAAAAAAAAAAAAAAAAAAACAAAGCTCAACTTTTTTTTTTTTTTTTAATTATCATGTTATGTATTGCCTGACACCAAATATTTTCTGGCTGACATTATTTATGTGTGAAAACTTATTAGCTGTCTACCTTTTTGTTTTTAAACCAAGTCCTGTGGTTAACAGGGGCTGAAGCAAACTGACATTATGCAAATACACACAGGTTTGCAATTTAGACATGTCTTGCAGAGGGTGGTTTGCTGGTCTAAAAAGGATGAGAATTGAAGCCCTATTTTACCCCTGCCTTACACTTTCACAAAATATTGGTCCACAAATTAAATTTTCAAAGGTTCCCAAACCCCACAACTGAACAGATGATCCCCTTTCATTTTCAAAGAAAACAATACTGGAAAAAACCTCAGCCCGCTTATAAATTAAGCATTTCATATTTCTTCTAGAATACAAGTACTTCTTTTTTGTACAAAAGAATTACAATATGATTTGTCAAAAAACATATAAAAGACAGCTGCTCTTCCTCAAATACATGAGCTAATGATAAAAGACTGTTTTTTTTCTTTTTTTAATGTTCACTTCTCAAAGTTCCTGTTCCTTTTACATTAAAAAGAACATTCTGGCAACTGTTATCGTTTGAATATTAAACATTATGTTCCTTTTAAAATTCATTTGATCAAATGCAACAATAATCGACCTTTAAACTCAACAACTGATGCTACCTTATGTGGATTCAACCACATTTTCTAAAATGTGTAAAGCACGTCCCTAGTCTTCAAAGCTTTCGATGTGACGAGAGTTGCTTTCCTTGATGCAAGTCTCAAGGCGGAGAATCATTTTAAAGCTTATAAAAGTGGACAGAGAAATATTAAAAACTTCTCTGAAAACTACAAATATTGAGAATTATTAAAATCGATGCCAGTAACATCAGTTGCAAGTGCTTAGAGTCTGTCCTGACCTTTTGAGTTTCCACATTTTCTCCATGGTGAGCACCCAGTGCTATTAAAACATTCAGTGCTGGGAAAGGATAGATACAGTCTTCACTACTGCTTTAAGAAAGAAAATTCCTACGTATTTGGCAGTCTTCAGTATCAAAGTGTAGGTGTTTAACTAGAAATCCCATGAATACCCAAGTTTGGAGACAACTGCACGTCCAAATATTAGAAAGGTAATTGAGGAGGAAAATTCCAGACTTTTGAGACTGAATTACTTCAGGAATATTCATGTATTGAGTATTATCAAAAGTAATATTACTTTGGGCTAAGCAGTGACTGCAAAGGCACAGCAGATCATTATCCCTCCAGATTCAGGCTGTAAAACTTGAAAAGCTCTTGATGCCAGACAACTGCTGTGTTTAGTTAATCTTCTTAACAGTGTCTTTGTATCTGTATCCAGTGTAGCGTACCATAATAAAGCTGTGGTTCAAAGAACAGAACTTTATACAAAAATTATACTGTAAATAACCTAAAGTAATACACTCCTGAAACTTCAGGCATTTTAACACAATTTCTTTTAAAAAAATCTATTAAAAAATTGCATAAATGTAAATGCTTCTGACTAGCAGGAAAACATACAAACATTTTTTAAAAGGCGATGGTTGTGTTTAGAGCAAGTTTGATATGCTCCTTAAATTACAGATGTTTCCCATGATGCTATTTTCGTCACTTCGCTTAGACAAAGTTTAATTCAAATAACAGGGAACTTTCTTTCCTTTTTTGCTTTTGGTCAATTCAGTGATACTTCGAGCTGATCGATTTTAAAGTTTCATCTTCTTTTTTTCCGAGCTAACAGTGGGTGGCATACAGAGCTTGCATACAACACACTTTTACAGAGGTTACGAACTAAATGGTAATTAATAGAACACAATTTCTATTAAATTATTTACCTGGTCCTTTATGCTATTCTGGGTGCAAATAATATCAAAAATGAATAAATTTTACTTTATCCTCAGTGACAAAAATGTATCCCAGAAATGTCCTTGCAAAGAGTTTCCCTTAAGTATACAATGTGGCAAAACTTCAGAGATCAGAAAAGTCTTAAAAAAATTAAAATTAGTGCATATACAAGTGGAAAAAATAAAAGCAGGAACATCATGCACCTGATGTGTTCCTTAATCTAAAATAAATTCTTCACAGATAAAGCCTCCAATGGCAGCCTTAGCTCTAGGATAAGTGAAACATTCTTCCCTTCAAGTAACAGTGTACCTGACTGAAGTGCAAGCAGCTTTGC